TGTTTGTCTCCTAGCAACTGACATTTAGTGGCACATTGGCTTGGAGCACCGAGGCCTTATTTACCTGTCATGTCTAATAGCCCTTGATAGACATCTCCTCCTCTTCCTTCAATTTCTGTCATGCCCCTTTAACAGCGGCCATCACTATTTCTTCTGGTAGCAAATTCCACAGGTTAACTAAGTGCTCTGTGAAGAAATCCTTTTTTTAATTTGCCAACCAATTTCATTTGGATAACCCCACATTTTAACATTATAAGAGGCAAAAAAAAATTTCACTTCCTCCTCCTCATGCATCATTCTAGAGAGCTTTTGCAGAAGATAAGCCTTGGATGCTGGCAGGAAGACATGAAAAGTAGCAGCGGCCAAGGAAAGGGGCTGCTTAACCCTTTCCCTCCCTTCCATTGTCCTGCTCAGTCTTTACATTTGCTGCTCCACATCTTCCTCCAGGGATAAAAGAAAATATCAGAACAGGAAAATCTCTGTTCTATAGGAGAAAATAAGTTTGGTCAGATGAACAACGGGGGTGGGGGGAGGTCAGGAGGATTAAGCCATCCCTCGCATTGCTGAGCTCATTCTGAGTTTGGGCCCACCTGACCTTCTGTTTGCAATTTTTGGCTGCTAATGTATACTCGTCTTTTGGGATTTCTCCTTTCTTCCATTTCTTATACATGCCCTTCTTAAATCTCAGCTCATCATACAGCCTCACTGGTTTCTTTAGGTGGCTCCCACGCTTCTTTTATTACTGGAATTGTCTGCATATGTGCCTTCAATATTTCACTTTTAAGAAACTTCCATCCTTCTTGCACTCCCTTCTCTTCGAATATTTCTGACTGTGTAGCTCCTTAAGCTTTTTGAAATCAGCCTTCTTAAACTCCAGAGTGTATGTCCTCAGCTTGCCCTTGCCCTTGCCTCTGTATCATGAGATGCCTCCTAAGTTTCTGAGTACTTCGACTTTGTTGTTCAGTTCCTCCCTGTTAGTAGTAGTAGTAGTAGAAGAGTTTGGATTTGATATCCCGCCTTTTACTCCCTTTAAGGAGTCTCAAAGCGGCTAACATTCTCCTTTCCCTTCCTCGCCCACAACAAACACTCTGTGAGGTGAGTGGGGCTGAGAGACTTCAAAGAAGTGTGACTGGCCCAAGGTCACCCAGCAGCTGCATGTAGAGGAGCGGAGACGCGAACCCGGTTCCCCAGACTACGAGACTACCGCTCTTAACCACTACACCACACCACCACAAGAGGACCAAGCGCCCTTGTTGCTTTTCCCACCTTCTGGGAAATGAAATTGTCAGTGGGGCAATAGAGAAATTTCATTCTTGGCAGAGTTTCAACAGGTATCGGGGACGTTGAAGTCTCCCATGACTACTATATGTCTCCTTTTTGAATGTTTGGTAATCTGCTCTAGGAAGGCATCATCCGAGCCTCTGAGGGGGTGGAACTGTACTGTACGTTAGTTTCTGTTTTGCCACTGAGCAGCCGCGTGCTGTTTTGATGCTCTGCTGGGAAGACGTGCCTGAGGCCTTATCAAAGGATCAGGTCATCAATTAATCGTCAGGAGGCAATTCCGAAGATGAGCCTTATCAGCTCGGTCAAACGGAGATTTCGACATTTTCATAATGACAGTGGGTGTCAGGTGAAAGACTGGACTACGGCTTTTGAGGTTTTGTGGGCTCCAAGTCTTGGAAGCGCTACATCCCACTTTGCCCAACAGAGGAGTCTTTGCTCTGGACAAATGTGCATGTGGTTGTTCAGAATACAATGGTACCTCAGGTTAAGAACTTAATTCGTTCTGGAGTTCTGTTCTTAACCTGAAACTGTTCTTAACCTGAGGTACCACTTTAGCTAATGGGGCCTCCTGCTGCCGCCGTGCAATTTCTGTTCTCATCCTGAAGCAAAGTTCTTAACCTGAGGTACTATTTCTGGGTTAGCGGAGTCTGTAACCTGAAGCGTCTGTAACCTGAAGTACCACTGTATGTGCAAAGGCAGTCTTGAGAGCGTGAATGCAAGTATGCATGCAAAGCTGAGCTTCTTCCTGAAATTTTTCTGCTGCAAGGGGCAGGAAAGTTTACTGATATTGGAAAGACCAATCAGTGCACTCACAAGACTATTTTGAGTTTCATTGAACTAAAAGCCGACAAGTGCCATGGCTAGAAAGAAATGCTTACTTCTTTTGATATGTTATATGTTTGAAAATGCACTCTAAGATGTGCGCCGTAGGCATTTCAAAGAGAATATATGGAATATAATTGAGGAGGCATTCCTTTTATCCTTTTCAGTTGTGCATGTATATGCTTCTCATGCATCAAAACAATTTCTGGAGGCCTATTCAGGCAGGAGGTTTTGCCTTTGTGTTTTCTGCCGTTGGCCCTAACATGATCCCGAATGCTTATTCTGGTGGCGGCACGGTGGGGGTGGGGAACCATCGTGCCAAATTCTGAATGTTGTTGTTGTTTAGTCGTGTCCTACTCTTCGTGACCCCATGGACCAGAGCACGCCAGGCACTTCTGTCTTCCACTGCCTCCTGCAGTTTGGTCAAACTCATGCTGGTAGCTTTGAGAACACTGTCCAACCATGTCGTCCTCTGTCGTCCCCTTCTCCTTGTGCCCTCCATCTTTCCCAACATCAGGGTCTTTTCCAGAGAGTCTTCTCTTCTCGTGTGATGGCCAAAGTACTGGAGCCTCAGCTTCACGATCTGTCCTTCCAGTGAGCACTCAGGGCTGATTTCCTTCAGAATGGAGAGGTTTGATCTTCTTGCAGTCCATGGGACTCTCAAGAGTCTCCTCCAGCACCATAATTCAAAAAAATCTGAATACTGGCCCCAAAATGGTCACGTTATTCCCATAATGTCACCAGATGTACTGATCCATGGGTCACACTAACGTAATGTTGCTCCTGGATTTAGTAAAACTGGGGAAGAAGTGCAAGATTCTGTAAGACTCTAGTACAGATCTCTGTGTGTTCAGCTCTTTGGTGCACAGCTGAACTGTGGCAATTACACCCAAATCACCATTTCCTATGCCCAATCCTGGATTTGCGTATAATCTAAACAAGCTATAGCTTAGGGCCCCACTCTCTTGGGGGCCCCCAAAAAATTTAAAGGAAAAAAACCTGGATGTACATTACCAAAATATAAGATAAAAAACAAATAAAATAAAACCTACATACAGCAACAGTGTTTTGTGTTCTGTAGGCTCCTATGATGTAAATAATAGGCCCCGCCTGCTAGCCTTCTCCCTAAAATATCACTGGTTTGCTCATTTCTATATATAGAATGCCTACATTCTGCATGGACTGGTTGCATGGCAACGTCTGCAAATGGCTTTAGATACTTAATAGGTCCATAAATTACCATATAGCATATATTCAACACAAAAACAGGGACAATTTGTTGTTGACAGAGGACAGCTGGACATATACAGTGGTACCCTCGGGTTAAGAACTTAATTCATTCTAGAGGTCTGTTCTTAACTTGAAACTGTTCTTAACCTGAGGTACCACTTTAGCTAATGGGGACTGCCGCTGCCACTGTGCTGCTGCCGCACGATTTCTGTTCTCATCCTGAAGCAAAGTTCTTAACCCAAGGTACTATTTCTGGGTTAGTGCAGTCTGTAACCTGAAGCGCCTGTAACCTGAGGTACCACTGTAAAGGGCCCCTTTACCCTCAGTAGCTTAGGGCCTCCTCAAACCTAAATCCAGCCCTGCTTCTGCTTCTTCCAATGCATAATTAGTTACCTGTTAATAACTCTACACCACACATTTCCATAGTATATGATATCCAGCTATTGTGTACATAAACTCAAACCCTGCAGAATGCACAAAGACACCCTTGTGTGGGATGGGTGATGAACAAATGTTGGAGCACTGCCTACTCTGGGATGTCCCCCACTTGCTCGTTCTATGAATTTGCCCTCTTTCGAAGCTAATCTTGGTTTCAGAGAAGTCTTCTTCGTTTCTTTCCACTTTGTTGGTCCTTGTTTGTTTTCTCTCTGTTCCTTCAGATGGATTCACTTTGTTTCATGCATTCTACCAGGTGATTGGCTTCCAGCAATGCAAGGTTTGCATTTAGGCTTTTTTTTGGGGGGGTGGATTTGTAACTATTAGAACAATATTCTTGAGGGGGTTGAGAGTATAAGAGAAAAAATAATTGCGTACCCTTCCAGCACTGCTCCGATGAAAATAGGGACAGCCTAAGGAAAAGTGGGATCAAATAAGAAACCGGAATGGCTTCTCTAAATCAGGGACGTCCCTGGAAAATAGGGACACTTGGATGGTCTGGAATTGATTTTTATTTTAATAGACCATAAAAACAAATGGAACACCTCCTGGAGCTTCTGACTTGGAGGGAAATATTAGTTTCCACTATTTTTTCAAGCAGTTCCTTCCCCCTGAGGTTGTGGTTTTTATGTTCCTAAGAGTTCTTTTTTTCCTTTTTTATTCATTCATTTTGTGTGAGCTAATTGTTTAAATTAGGGTATATTAAAAGAAAATGCTGTAGAACTATTTTTTAAAAATCTGTTGTACATCTCAGTGAAATATTTCTCATGCACAGGATAGCCCTTGGTAACTTTTCTGGTGAATACCATTGCTCCAAAATATCACGGTTGGAGAAGAAAGGCACATAGCCCCATCCAAGACAGAGGCTTTAATCATGGGCTGGTAGAGAACTGACTCTTCCAACAAGTGCTAGCTGGCCATTTGGCAGCAGTTTGGCAGGTGACGCCTAGCCAATTAAATTTTATTGCTTTTCAAAGTTATTAACAAATTAACATCAAATCAAATTTAAAAGTTGACTTCCTGCCCTGCTTCCATGATGTTTCTCTTCCCACCCTTACTTCCTACTCCTTGTAACATTGTTGATGTTTAGTCGTTTAGTCGTGTCCGACTCTTTGTGACCCCATGGACCAGAGCACGCCAGGCACTCCTGTCTTCCACTGCCTCCCGCAGTTTGGTCAGACTCATGCTGGTAGCTTCAAGAACACTGCCCCACCATCTCGTCCTCTGCCGTCCCCTTCTCCTTGTGCCCTCCATCTTTCCCAACATCTGGGTCTTTTCCAGGGAGTCTTCTCTTCTCATGAGGTGGCCAAAGTATTGGAGCCTCAGCTTCAGGATCTGTCCTTCCAGTGAGCACTCAGGGCTGATTTCCTTCAGAATGGAGAGGTTTGATCTTCTTGCAGACCATGGGACTCTCAAGAGTCTCCTCCAGCACCACAATTCAAAAGCATCAATTCTTTGGCGATCAGCCTTCTTTATGGCTCACTTCCATACATCCCTACTGGGAAAACCATAGCTTTAACTATACGGACCTTTGTTAGCAAGGTGATGTCTCTGCTTTTTAAGATGCTGTCTAGGTTTGTCATTGCTTTTCTTCGAAGAAGCAGGCGTCTTTTAATTTCGTGGCTGCTGTCACCATCTGCAGTGATCATGGAGTCCAAGAAAGTAAAATCTCTCACTCCCTCCATTTCTTCCCCTTCTATTTGCCAGGAGGTGATGGGCCCTTGTCACATACTTTTCTTAATTTCAATTCAATACTTGAAACATTTAAACATTTTATCATTAATCCCCACCACTTCTTCATTCCCCATCAGCTGTACATATCCTGATTCCTGCTTAGACTTTTACTTAACTCTAACATATTTCCAAAATGTCAGCTAGAGTTACTCTCCACTTTGTCAGCCCACAAAAATCGTTAAGTTATAAATCAATAATTGCACAAATACAACTTATCCCTCCTGCCGTTTTCCTTGTGCAAAAGTCTGACAGGTGATAGTAAATAAGAAATTAGTCTAAGTGTGCCTTTTACCAGCACCATCTAGAGCCATATCTTGTTCAGGATAACCTGGCCATGTTAGTCAGCTCAACAGCTTTGCCCAAAAAAGCTCAACACCTTTTCTGCCCAGATATTCGCTGTTTGAAATACGGCAACCCTATCTGTATGGGGCTGTCCTTGCCTCTGATCTGGAAGCTCCAGCTAGTGCAGGATGCAGCAGATGGGCTACCCCAGATGGCTGGCAGCATGTAGCAGCCTTGCTAAAACATAGGCCCATATGTCACCAGGACAGGTTGAAGGTTCTTGTATTAATATACAATAAAAGGCCCTGAGCAACTTTAATCCAGGATACTTCCTGAGCCCTTATCCCGCAGCTTGATCACTGATATCGATAATCCACAGGAGCACTATAACTTTACCCCCCCATCACCACCACATTCACCCCCATTTCTTGACTAATAGTCAGTCACTTTATTGCACATAGCCAATGGCTACTGCAATGTACACAGAATCGTTCAACAATTAAAAGAAATATTGGATTGATACAAAAAACTTAAAACATTTATATTATCAAGACATTACCTACTCTAAACAGAGCTATAAAAGTATCTTAATATACAAGTTGACGTTAAACAATAAAATTTATAAGCTAAAATTATCACATGGCCACTAATATATTAAAAATAATGTTAATTAGTATAATGCATTTCTCAACTAGAAGTTGAGCATTTAGTGCCACCACTTCCATTCTGTAGAATATTCTTCCGGCAGAGAGTCAGAAGGCATCCTCATGAATAATTTTTGTGTGTGTTGACAGGCCTATTCAGGGGTTTAAGCTTTTTAACAACCTGCATTGTTTTTAATGGTATTTTATCTCTTTTGTAAATCATTTTGAACACTGCCCTGGGATTTTTTTAACGAGAGATGGTCCATAAATATATATATATTTTAAATAAACAACCTACTTCACAGCATTACTTCAATGACATAAAAAGCTAATATTGTTAATCACTCTGCACACTGGAAAACCCTGTAGAAATTATTGTTCATTTCAGCTGGTCCCAGATTTTGCAGCTGTTCACAAAAGGATTTCTTTTCTAAGAGTTCCCTGAGCAAGGTCCTGACAACTACTAGTTTAGGAGTCGCTGTCACTGTGCATTCTAGAAATCTTTCCATGAACAGACCGCACATTCCGGGGCCTTATCAGCCAAGAGAGGCATCGATCCAATTTGCAGGTTACAGCCTGATTCTCTGTAAGCACTTGGAAAGTCTGACTGAGTGACACTTGCTGAACTTGGCACAATAATGCACTTTCTCTGTCAAGCTTTTTCTGCACTGAGTTTAAGTAAGCAAACCCTTTAAAATCCAAGTGTCACTAGAGCTGGAGGACAGTCTTTTGTTTTATTAACCGGGACATAGCTGCTTGTTCCTGCCTGATGCTTCCATCATACTATATTCACTGCTTTACAATCCAGTGTGGTGTAGTGGTTAAGAGCAGTGGACTTGTAATCTGGTGAACTGGGTTCGATTCCCTGCTCCTCCACATGCAGCTGTTGGGTGACCTTGGGCTAGTCACACTTCTCTGAAGTCTCTCAGCCTCACTCACCTCACAGAGTGTGTGTTGTGGGGGACGAAGGGAAAGGAGATTGTTAGCCACTTTGAGACTCCTTAAGGGGAGTGAAAGGCGGGATATCAAGTCCAAACTCCTCCTCCTCCTCCTCCTCTTCTTCTTTTTTTTTGTAGGTTGCCATTAGAATCTGCCCCCCCAACTTGTGTAATAACACACATTTAGCTCAAACAAATTTGATGATTCCTCTTTTATATTTTGTTGTTGTTTTGTTGTTTAGTCGTTTAGTCATGTCCGGCTCTTTGTGACCCCATGGACCAGAGCACGCCAGGCACTCCTGTCTTCCTTTTATATTTACCTGCCTTTAAACCCACTTTCATATTCAAACAAAATTTGGGGTCCAATTGGAAACCACAATTTAAGAAGGATGTTGACAAGGTGGAATGTGTGCAGAGGAGAACGACCAAGGTGATCAGGGGTCTGAAAACAAAGCCTCATGAGGAAAGGTGGAAGGAGCTGGGTATGTTTAGCCTAGAGAAGAGGATACAGTGGTACCTCTGCTTACGTACTTAATTCGTTCCGGAGGTCCGTTCTTAACCTTAAACTGTTCTTAACCTGAAGCACCACTTTAGCTAATGGGGTCTCCGCTGCTGCCGCACCGCCACCACACGATTTCTGTTCTCATCCTGATGCAAAGTTCTTAACCCGAGGTACTATTTCTGGGTTAGCGGAGTCTGTAACCTGAAGCATCTGTAACCCGAGGTACCACTGTACTGGGAGGAAATAGGATAGCCATCTTCAAATATCTCAAGGGGTGTCACATGGAAGAGGGAACAAGCTTGTTTTCTCCTGCTCTGGAGGCTAGGACTCGAACCAATAAAATTATAAGAAAGGAGATTCCAACTAAACATCAGGAAAATCTTTCCGACAGTAAGAGCTGTTCAACAGTGGAACAGTCTCCCTCAGGAGGTTGTGGACTCTCTTCCTTGGAGGTTTTTAAACAGAAGTTGGGTGACCATCTGTCACAGATGCTTTAGTTGAGATTCCTGCATTGCAGGGAGTTGGACTAGATGATTCTCAAAGTCCCTTCCAACTCTACAATTCTATGATTCTACAAAATCTTAATTTATTTTTGTGTTACCTATTAAAATGTTTTGTTCATTTCCCTGCAACGTCAATAAAAGGGGTGTGTGCCTTTTGTTTGATAGCCTCTTTGTGGTTAAGTAAGAACAGAGACATCATAGTGTGGCAAGCCATCGACTGTTTCCATTACGGATGGAATTTCAGTTGCCACAAAACGCTGTGTTTTTCAAAAGCACTTCTAGTTTTTACCATCTATGATATCTGCAGCAAACAGGATGTCATCTGCTAGCTCCATTGACACAGCCTTGTGCATATTTACTGCCTTGCTCATTGAGAATGTGTTATGTTGCTGAACTGAGCTTCTCTTCTCTCTGTTCCCATCCCCCCCCTTTTGCCAATGATTCAAAATGCTAACCTGTCTAGCATGTGTTTTGTGCTTCGAGTTTCCCTTTGTAAACCAATTAGGTCTTTGCAATTTAAATGGTGTTTTATTTGCCAATGGGGAAGCATCTTCCTTGGTGGACTAAGGTTTTCTTCATCCTGCAACTGCTGCTTGATATAATGATTTATTAAGGTACTAGGAGAATTATTGATCTGGCTAATAGCTTCTTCCTCGCTGCATAATGTTTTACATTTTACTCAACTGAAAGGGCCCCATATTCCTTCTCTCATCCTCTGATTGACCATAAATGTTCTGGCCTTCCCCCCAGCAATTATCACACTTACCAAAGAGGTAGGTAAAAGTCAAGTATCTGTAGGCTAAATTAAAAGAGTCAGCGCATCCAAATAATGTCCTGTGCATAAGGGATAGAATCCTTTGTAAGATTAAATAATGTTTCTATAGCATTCCAAAAAAGAAGATGTTGCTTTCAAATTACCATATTTTTTGCTCTATAAGACTCACTTTTTCCCTCCTAAAAAGTAAGGGGAAATGTGTGTGCGTCTTATGGAGCGAATGCAGGCTGCGCAGTTATCCCAGAAGCCAGAACAGCAAGAGGGATTGCTGCTTTCACTTCGCAGCGATCCCTGTTCCGGCTTCTGAGATTCAGAATATTTTTTTTCTTGTTTTCCTCCTCCAAAAACTAGGTGCGTCTTGTGGTCTGGTGTCTCTTATAGTGTGAAAAATACGGTACCTTAGCACTAGAAGGTGTACCAGTGCAGAATGAGGCCTCGGCAGGGTTGCCTGGAAAAGAGCTTTGTAGGCAGAGATCTGAACATCTCTTTCACTCCAAGAAGCAGCTATGTGCTCAAGTCAGTATGCTGGCTCAAGACGGCTCAAGATGTTTAAGAAGATTTATGCTAATCAAACTTTGGTCTACAAATCCTTGCCGCTTCCCCAATTTTCAGAAAATTACTGGTTGGCAAGCCGCTATGAGGAGGCTCAGTTCTTAAATCTGCACAAGAAATGAATTTGGGGAGCTTAGGAAGTGAAATACAGGATTGGAGGTTCAAACCACCCCTCTGTTTTCTAAGGACTAAAGTGTACATTACATGCAACTTTGGGATAGGTTTGTTTTGAGCAGAGGAATGTGGTATTTCCTGCTGAGCATTCGTCTGCTCCAAATTCATTTTCCCGACATGCCTGACACTTCTTGGCACGGGGAGTGGGAACAACTGGGGTGTGTGTGGTGATTGGAAATTGGAAAATGTCCCATTGGGAAAGTATGGGCCCTTGGAAGATAAAGGTAGAACAGAAAGGTAAAGGTACCCCTGACCAACAGGTCCAGTCGTGACCGACTCTGGGGTTGCGCGCTCATCTCTCTCAAGAGGCCGGGAGCCGGCGCTTGTCCGAAGACAGCTTCCGGGTCACGTGGCCAGCGTGACTAAGCCGCAGCTGGCGAGCCAGCACCAGCGCAGCACATGGAAACGCCGTTTACCTTCCCGCTAGAGAGCGGTCCCTATTTATCTACTTGCACTTTGGGGTGCTTTCGAACTGCTAGGTAGGCAAGAGTTGGGACCGAATGACGGGAGCTCACCCCGTCGCGTGGGGATTCGAACCGCCGACCTTTCGATCAGCAAGTCCTAGGCACTGTGGTTTAACCCACAGCGCCACCCGCGGTCCCGGTACAGTACATGTATATAAATAAAATAAATGAAGTAAGTCTATATATACTGTTAGGACAAGCTGAGCCTAGGAGCTAACCAGGGTGCTGAAACATTTGACCTGACTTGTAATAGTTTTCTTTTTTTGTAAAGCTCACGGGAGGAAAATCTAATGAACAAGTCCCTGTAGGGTGATGTGATCTAAATCAAATTCTTCCTCTGAGTGCTTCCTATGGACCACAGTCAGATATTATTTCCCCCAAAATATTGGGTAATGTTGGTTTTAAAAAGCAGAGGACAAGCAGTGAGTACTGGGACATAAATAAATATTAAAAGTACATATACTGGCAGTTGTGATCATATTTCCCATGTGCCCAATGCATAGTTGCCTAGTATATTAACTTTTATTTTTGAAAAGTTATTATTGGGGGGAAAGTTACGGTGCAACAGGTCTCCCTATATGCAAACACATCGGAGTGTGTGTGCATTGGGTTAAGGCTGCAATTTTAACCCTACTGGCAGGAAGCCCCATTGACTTCAGTGGGATTTATTCCTCAGTATGCATGGATGGGTTTGCACTATAAGTCTATAGCTTCCCAGGGAAGAAAAAACAAACCACACCACTCCAGGCTAATCCTGTGAAAACAAGCAGCTCACATGCCTCCGTTCTGCTGCTCCTTTCTGACTTCTCAATATGGATGATTGTCAGCTGCCTTCTGTTTGTATCTCACCTGCAAGAGGACAGAATCCTGATGGGCTTCTGCATCTTTACCGGAAGGAGGCAGATAGCAGCTGCTACACATTGGTGCATGTTCTTTAAAATGTTGTTAGGAGCTTCTGCTTTTAAATAAAATAAACACTGAGAAATGCTTTCCAGGCTGCCCAAAATCTGACCTAAAGAATCTATTGAAAAACCTCTCTGTTCCCACCTTAAGACTGCAGAGCCTTAGAAATTTATTTTCCCCTCCCTTTGAGTTTTGTGTTGTTTACCATCAATCCTGACAGAGAATTCTGTGTAATTCAGAATTGCATATGTCACCAATGAATTTTAGTTTAGCCTAATATAGTTTCAATATCTTTGGATATTTTACAATGGATTCACACAGCTACCTGGGAGTTTTTTTTTAAAGTAATTTGGAGAATGTCCACAGGCCTATTTGGGCTTTTAAATTTTAGGTCATTTTGGCATATATTTAATGTTTTAATTGCTGTTTAACAAACATCAGCTTGGCTTTATTTGGAAGGCGTATTCAGAGACGTATGAAATTTTGCCTTGTCCCATCTTCTTGGTTCTTAAATAACCCTTCGGACATGAGGTAAACAACAGTGGCAAACAAAGGAAGCTGTAAATCTTCCTGAGCTAAGTCTGGTGCTCCTAATTGCTTCAAGGTAAAATCAGGCTTTTCTCTGCTGTTCATAGTTGACCTAGCAAAAGATCACTTAATTTTTCTATTAAGACTGAGTGTGGCATAGATTTTTGTTGTTCCTAGCAATTTTTTAATGGACCTAAGCAGCCAAGAAGGCTTTTAGGCAGGTATGTTCTAGCCCAAAGGCCTTTGAGATTAGCTTTTAATGCATTCAGCACATAACCTTCCGCATGACATTTCGATTTCTGTTAAGTACAGCAAGCGTTCAGAGGTGAGGCTTGTCTTTCTGCAAACTATTCAATACTCTAAGCAGTCAAAGATATCAGACTATGGGTACAACTAGCTATGCTTCTGTTCAGCTCATATTTATTTCAATGGGACTTGTGCAAGAAAATTTCACAGAGACAAATGTTCAGTTGTCTTGCTTTGTGAAACCTTTAGAAAGCAAGGGCTTAGCCACACTTACTTTCCAGGCGTAGTCTGCGCTTCAAAGTTCCGTGTCTGAGCATTTTATTTTGTTTATTTTTTGCTCCAGAGCTTTCCCCATGAAAACCCAGTCTTTAAAGCTCAATCAGAGTAAACAGCAACCTGCAGAAAACTTGAGTGGACATTTGCGCCGATTAAGCTTTTCAGAGTAGGTTTTCATGAGGAAAGGAGCTTTTGAACATGGATCTGTGCCTGGAAAAAGTTCAGCAAAAGGTCAGTGTGGAAAAGCCCCAAGTGATGTCCTGTGAATTTCAAATGCATTTGGGGAACAGGGGTGGGGTGCTAGTATTTTCAAACTGTGATGCTTGCTTCATTCTGTATAACTGTGCTAGTATTTTCAAACTGTGCTAGTATTTTCAAACTGTGCTAGTATTTTCAAACTGTGATGCTTGCTTCATTCTGTATATCTGTGTATTATAGTTAGGGACTTTGGAGGACTATACAAATGGTATTGTTAGGTATCCTGATAAGCTAGAAAACATGGCGGAAATTAGCTGTCTTCCACTGTGTCAGGCCACTAGCACGTTGGTCCGGATAGTATCTCATGTGACTGGCAGCAGCTGCCAGATTCTTTCAGTTGTTCTGCCAGGGGCTAAAGCAGACTTTTAGCACCCAAAACAGGCATTTTGCTACCAAGCTATGGCTTGCTCCCCCCTCTGTAGATTCTGTCTCTCCCCCCCCCCATTTTCTTTCCTTTTGGCATTAGGTGGTGTCACACACACACACACACCCCATTTCCCAGTTCATCTTAATTTATTTTTTAATTTTTATTTAAAATGTTTTTTATTTAGCCCTTCATTTGTTTTGATTTCACAGTATCGTTGTTGTTTAGTCATCTTAGTCGTGTTCGAGTCTCCGTGACCCCATGAACCAGAGCATGCCTTGGAAACTCTCACTTTCTTCTCACAGCTTCTCCTTTTTTACGTCCATGGAGTTTTCTTGGCAAAATACTGGAGTGGTTTGCCAGTTCCTTCTCCAGGTGGATCACATTTAGTCTGAACTCTCGGCTATGACCTGTCTGTCTTGGGTGGCCCTGCGCGGCATAGCTCAGAGCTTCTTGGAGTTCTTCAAGCCCCTTTGCCATGACAAGGCAGTGATCCATGAAGGGGTCACAGTATCATACAATTATATATATATATATATTCCAACAGATTAAAATGTCTTTGTAACCAAATGCGTTTTAGCCTAGTACAGGGGTCAGCAACCTTTTTCAGCTGTGGGCCGGTCCACCGTCCCTCAGACCATGTGGTGGGCCGCACTATATTTTGAAAATAATAATAATGAACGAATTCCTATGCCCCACAAATAACCCAGAGATGCATTTTAAATTAAAGGACACATTCTACTCATGTAAAAACACGCTGTCTGCGGGCTGGATTGAGAAGGCGATTGGGCCGCATCCAGCCCACGGGCCTTAGGTTGCCTACCCCTGGCCTACTACTAAAAATCTGAACCTCTCTCTTGGGAGGATGTTCTGTAAGCTGGAACAGAAACCCTCCAGCTATTGAATGCTACTAATAAAGGAGGTTTCTCGACAAAGTCTTCAGCAGAAGATGTCAAAGCATTGATATGGGGAGAGGCACTTGTGGGGCATCTTGAGTTGGGCCCAGAAACAAGCAAGTCAGTCAATTTGATTCTTTCAAATTGTAGACCTGGCTGTCGTAGTCAACTTGCTGGGACCTGCATTTTGCAACAGGTCTTTAGTGGCAGCACCATCTACAACATAGACAAGATACCAGAGTAGGAGGTTACAGGAGCATGGCTCATCAGGGCCAGATTGTCCCTCTCCAGGGGTGGTTGAAGCTTGCTAAAGGGACTCCATGCCACTGACGGAACCTGGACTTCTGTTAATAAAACTGGATGTAGGAATACTCTCAAACTCTCTTCTTTCACAGGCAGCACAGTCACTTCTAAAGCAAGACATGGATCAGTTTCCTGAACTTGTGCCACAGTGCCTCTGTTTCGTCAAGGTTCAGTTTCCAGCTCAATACAGCATCCAGTCAGAGCTCCAGTATCCCCATAGCCTTACCTGATTCAGATTGTAAGGAGGAACAAAGATGGTGGACAAGGCCAGTTTCTTCGCAGGGTTGCCATATTCCAAGGATACTGCCCCACTCTTCGCCTGTATACTTGCTGCCAAGCCCCGTAGCAGTAACTTCAAACAATTCCCCCCCCCAAGTGCAGGCATTGTGCTCAAAAGTCAAAGCAGGATCAGCCTACCTACCTGTAGAAACAGAAGCACCTGTCTTTTATAATATGTCTTTATAATATGGCACCATCATTGGCTGATTGGGACCCGATCCCAGACCAGCTGTTTTGCATTGGCAGCAGTAGAAGGAACATGGGGTTCAAGTCAGGCCTCAGGTGCAGAAATGAGCAGTCTAATGATGTTCACAAGAATATAACAAAGCTTTATCTTCCTGAAGATGAAGGTGAAGTAGAAGAGTTTCTGGCCCAAAAAAAGGAAGGTGTTTTAATATTGTTTGGGAATTTTAAGTATGGAAACTGAGTGCATTCTACACTTATATGTGTATGTTGATGCTGTCTGTTGTTTTAAGCGGTGTTAGAAACTGAGATACGAAAGCTAGGAGCTAAGTGGCACCTTAAATCTATGTTATGGGCACAACCACAGCATAGCTAGGCGTGCTTTTTTAATAACAAGAATACAAAGCTGAAAATGAATGAACTGCAGCTAAAATATTATGTTCATTTTTCACATGGTCTAGTCCTTCCCCTGCCCACTCACCTAATATTCTTAAGAGGGTCTCTTCTCCAGTCTTCAGAGGGTAGCTGGAAGTGGGGAGGCAGAAAAAGGCCCTCCTTTCCTTCTACTCTGCAGTTTTAATCTGAAATCTTAGGTGCAGAACTAAGGCCAAAGCTCAGAAACTGCTCGTGCTAATGAAATTCCCTGTCGCAAAATGCACCTAGAATAATATGAGTTTCGAACACTGGTTTTAAGTGCAGTGGTACCTTGGGTTAAGAACTTAATTTGTTCCGGAGGTCCGTTCTTAACCTGAAAGTGTTCTTAATCTGAGGCACCACTTTAGCTAATGGGGTCTCCTGCTGCCACTGCGCCGCCGCCACGCGATTTCTCTTCTCATCCTGAAGCAAAGTTCTTAACCCGAGGTACTATTTCTGGGTTAGCAGAGTCTGTAACCTGAAGCGGCTGTAACCAGAGGTACCACTGTACTTCAGTACCAACGGCATAATTTGTTTTCTAATTGCACGCTAAAAAAAAACTTGGAGTGAGATTTTCATGTGAAATCTTGGCTGTTTCATGGGGAAGAGCAGGAGGAGGCCACCATTACTGAGCAACAAATGTAGCATAGCGTAGAATACAGGCCAATAAACCAGCTCAGCCTTCTTCAGCTCTTTCTACCTCTGCCTGTCTTCATACAAAGTGTCTTCTCCTTCATGGAGAGCACAGGTTGCGGTGGGGTTCACAAGACACCTTGCTGTTGCCGGGCAGGTTAGTTTGGATGTCCACCATTGTGATTGGGCTCCTCTTGTTGTTGGGGAGAGTTAGATGTTGCCAATTATTAATTGACAGCCTTAGGTTATATATTCTCTGTGTGCAGCGTTGAGCTTCTCTTTTCGCTGTGCACATTGGATCACCCGCCCACCCTCCCTGATTTTAGGGCTTTTGCGTTTGACCTTGCTATGCCTGTCATGGGGTCGTCTGCTTTTGGGGCAGAGGCCTGGTAGGAATTTTGTCCTTTTGGCTGATTGGTTGGTGCCATTTGGTATTTTGCCTACTGCGTAGCAAATTGTCACAATTTGTAAGGTGGTGGTTAGGCATTGGTTTTAGAAAATTGGTTGGTGGAGGGGTAAGGATTGGCTGTACCTGCCCCTCCAATGCTGCTGCTGCAAGGGAATTCCGTTAAAGGAATCCAGGGGTTTGCCATGCTCTTGTTCGAACCCCTGTCAAGGGGCTAGGGCCACGCAAGAGCCCCTGGGAGCATTTGGGGAGAGGTGAGGGTCTGGCACCCAGCTCCATTTTCTCCCCAAAAATGTTTTCCCTTACTGACTTTGCAGGGGTGCGGATGTCAGTTCCATCCCTGGGCGGGGACAGATAGTCGCACCCAATGCCTAAGCAACCACTTACATTTTGTATTTTAATAAAGTTATGGCCAAAATTATGCCAAAGACCTTAAACAAAAATTCCTGTGTGAAGTGTGAATTCATTTGGGGGTGGTTTGGGGACCTCAAAATGGAATAGAGGTGTCCTGCTTCCCAGTTTCCAAGCACATGGGCCCTGCTCCACACTGTTAATGTGGACTCGAACCACCTTTGGCCTGTGCAGTTCTACAGCAGGTAGCAGAGAAAGAATGACATTAATTAGTCAGAGATATTATAACCGAATCTTAGATTTATATGATTCATGTAATCCCGTGAATTCATGTGATTGATGTAATCACAGCAGGCTAAATTACACAGCCTTCTTTAAAAGCAGCAGGGAGCCAGCAGTCTGAGTAGCAGGCCTTTAACTATGGTTGAGACCAGATATTATTTAAAGTAGATATATACAAATGCCAAAAAAAATATTACTTTTTCCCCATTGGAAAGGCTATAAAATGCATATTGGTCTCTAGCCCCATTCATCAATGTCTTTATAGTGTAATTACAAATCCTGTGAATGTTGGAATCACTAAATTGAAATACAGAGAGGCGTTTGGAAAATGGTGCCATGTCAGCACTGTTAGTGCAATAAATATGAGCCACAAAGTAAACGCAGACTTTGAAGCTGCCTAAGCAGGCGTCATTTTTCTTTTTTCTTGACATATGGTTCTCTGCCCCCTTTCTTTATCATTTCAAGGTTATATTATGTCTCAGTTTCGGAGAGTTGAGGAATTACCACAGACCAAGGGGGATTTTTTCCCCCTTTTGTTTTGCAGCTATTCTAAGCTTTATTTCTGCTCCAGATTGCTCCAGTAATCCCTATCAATGTGTTGTCATCTCTCAACTTATAGCTGACAGGTAGACATATGAAGCAAGGAGGAGGATCACCTTCTGCCAGAGGTCATGGCTATCACTGCAGAGAGAAATAGGTGGTTGTTGTTGTTTTCCAAAGCAGGCATCCTGCATGTAGCTCTCTTCAGCTAAGCCCTTTATCCTGTAGTGTAGCTGCTCCAAAGGCTGGTATAATTTTGCTCCACCCTGTTGCTTCAGGCCCTTTTCTCTCTAAACTGAGAGGCCCAGCACTCTTCCAGGATTGGTGACTGGTCAGAAGGAAGGTTCCTGAGCAAGGGAGGTGCAGGGAGCAGGATCCGCCTTCTTTCTCCCATGTGGCCTTCTCTCCTAGAAGTTAGGACCTACCCTCCATTTTGTGTATGAACAAGGAAAGCATGTGAACGCCAGAAATCTAGGTTGACCCATACAAAATTAGGAACAAATTTTGGGCACAACTTGGTGTCCAACTCCATTTGGAATCTTGGCCATCTTTATTGTAAACTTTCACTAAACTGACAGGGCTCAAAATTGGCAGGGTTGAAGGTGAAGAATGGGCAGAAGAATAGACAAACACCTCCCTTCGTGTCCTGCTTTTCAATGGAGGTACCTCGGGTTAAGTACTTAATTGGTTCCGGAGGTCTGTTCTTAACCTGAAACTGTTCTTAACCTGAGGTACCACTTTAGCTTATGGGGCCTCCTGCTCCTGCCATGCCACCGGAGCACGATATCTGTTCTCATCCTGAAGCCAAGTTCTTAACCTGAAGCACTATTTCTGGGTTAGCAGAGTCTCTAACCTGAAGCGTATGTAACCTGAAGCGTATGTAACCCGAGGTACCACTGTATTTCTGGGTTAGCGGAGTCTGTAACCTGAAGCATCTGTAACCTGAAGCGTATGTAACCCGAGGTACCACTGTACAAGGATGAAACATCTGCATAGAGTTGGTGTACAGGACCCAATGGTTTCAGTTTTTCTAATACTGCAAAATACTGACCGTTATTTATTTGATGTATCTGTTTATGTGGGGACTGATAGGGAGAAGCTGTAGGTATGTGGGAAAGAGGGGTGAGTTCAGCTCTAGCCCCCTCTTTGCTATGTCTGGCTTCTTCCTAGCAATGGTTTCATTCAAGAGACTGACCCTTTTGCTACCAATTTCCACGGTTCGCATTTGATGGGAAACTGCATTTGAGTTAGCCAATTCAGTTTTCAGGGGTGGTTTTTTTTGTGTCTCCCTCTGAAACCTACAAAAAATTCTAGACCAAATATGTCAGCACGCCACTAGGATTAACCAAGTATCTGCTTCCTGGAATTTGGCTTAAAAGGTCAAAAAGAAAAGCATTGTTACCCCATATCTGCTAATTACATGCAAAGGCAAACTCAAATCAGCTCTTCTCCATGTGATCTGTCATTCAAGAGTGCATTACAGCTGATTTGGAATTACTGTATTTTCACGAAAGGCCTTTGCAGGTCAAAGTAATTGGCAAGCTTTGCTGGCTGGAAAAGCTGGGAGGTCAGGGACTGTCAGCAGTTAAGAAATATATGGTTCTGGAGGAAGAGGCATTGTTCCTTGAAAATCTTTTGGGTGCATGAAAGTAAATTGCTCCTTTCCCATTCCTTCTATCTCTTCATTCTTGCACAGCCCAGGCATTAATTCTAAAAATACCTTCAGTGTCTTTCAGGCCTTATCCCTTTAGCCAGCTAAGAGTGCCATGTTCAGGAAGGGCACATTTTCAGAATCCTTCTGAATAGAAAACTGGCAGTGGAAATGTTTCATTCCCCCCACTCAGTCTAATTTTAGGTATGTCGGTGTTGTTGTTTTTCAAATCACCTGGGATTCAACCTAGTCAGTAGAGACAAAACCGCATTTTCTCATTAGACCTTTTAACAAAGGCCTTTCGCTTCCCAAACTTTTGTCTGGACAAAAGTAAGTACCGGTAAATAAGAGTTGGAATAAATAAGCAGTGGCAATTAGGCTATTTCAAATAAGTTGTTGGTGGACAATTGGGAATAAACAGGGCAGTCACTTGAAAGAGAATAGTCATCACCTTCATGATGGAACAGTATAATAATAATAATAATAATAATAATAATAATAATAATAATTTATTTATACCCTGCCCATCTGGCTGGGTTTCCCCAGCCACTCTGGGCGGCTCCCAACAGAATGTTAAAAATGGAATCAAACATTAAAAACTTCCCTAAACAGGGCTGTTTTCAGATGTCAGATAGTTGTTTATTTCCTTGACATCTGATGGCAGGGCGTTCCACAGGGCAGGCGCCACTACCGAGAAGGCCCTCTGCCTGGTTCCCTGTAACCTCACTTCTCACGGGGAGGGAACCGCCAGAAGGCCCTCGGAGCTGGACCTCAGTGTCTAGGCTGAATGATGGGGATAGAGACATTCCTTCAGGTATAGTGGGCCGAGGCTGTTTAGGGCTTTAAAGGTCAGCACCAGGGGTCGGCAACGTGCGGCACATGGGCTGGATGCGGCCCACGAAGACCGTTTTACCGGCCCACGAGCTGCCCCCAAACCAAGCTAAAACTAAAGTGAAGCATTCCTTAGTGTTCATTGTGCCCCAATACTGAAAAAAACAGTAAGTTTATCTGTAATACATTGTTTTTGGCATAAGGGATGGTTGTTGCCAGCTGAAATGGTTTGCCTTTTAAATGCTGTCATTTTAAGGAAGGCAGGAAGCAATTACTTTTTTCTCTTGTAAGCAGTGACCTGCACCAGCTCATTTAGGCAATTGACACCTCTGCAGACAACATAAAGACCAGCTTATACTTTACACAGCAAATGAGTTTGGATTTTTCAGTGAGCCAGAACATTTGAAGGACTGGTATTCGCTGGGATCTACTTCATAGTTATTAAAAATGGCAGCTCAATTTTTACAATGTCATTTGTAAATCAAGGTGGAGTTGCACAGGGCATGTTGTTGCTTGTGGTGGTTTTTTTGGTTTCCCTCCACACGTAGCTCGTTTATAAGAGGGTGGAAACCTGAGATTTAGTTAGTTTATGCTGATAAAGATAACATGGGTCAACAAAATACAACAGAATAAGGCTGTCTAGGGTGCTATGGTTTTCCCAGTAGTGATGTATGGAAGTGAGAACTGGACCATAAAGAAGGCTGATCAACAAAGAATTGATGCTTTTGAATTATGGTGTTGGAGGAGACTCTTGAGAGTCCCATGGACTGCAAGAAGATCAAACCTCTCCATTCTGAAGGAAATCAGTCCTGAGTGCTCACTGGAAGGACAGATTGTGAAGCTGAGCCTCCAGTACTTTGGCCACCTCATGAGAAGAGAAGACTCCCTGGAAAAGACCCTAATGTTGGGAAAGATGGAGGGCACAAGGAGAAGGGGATGACAGAGGACGAGATGGTTGGACAGTGTTCTTGAGGCTGCCAGCATGAGTTTGACCAAGCTGCGGGAGGCAGTGGAAGACAGGAGTGCCTGGCGTGCTGTGGTCCATGGGGTCACGAAGAGTCGGACACGAGTAAATGACTAAACAACAACAACAGGGTGCTTTGAACTTCTGTACAATGACCAGAAAGCTGAATTGAATCACTTTTTGTTTCTGGACTAAAACTGAACCTGGAACATTATTTGATTAATTTAATTTAGTCTGAACCAAAGAAGAAATCTGGTTGTCGGTTCAGAGTGTAGGATTGACAATACTAATGAGATGCAAAAATCTTTGTGGCCACCCAGAAGGAATGATGAGCACATAAACCTAATATCCGGATAGGCCTTTCATGGCGTATTGTCCTTTGCTTTTGTACTCTCTCCTCTGGGAATCTGCAGGCAGGAGAGAGGCTTGTTGGTTTAAGGCTGCATTTCAGAATAGCAGACTGAGCTCCCGTTGCTCGGTCCCTGCTCCTGCCAACCTAGTTCGAAAGCACCTCAAAGTGCAAGTAGATAAATAGGTACCACTCCGGCGGGAAGGTAAACGGTGTTTCCGTGCGCTGCTCTGGTTCGCCAGAAGCGGCTTAGTCATGCTGGCCACATGACCCGGAAGCTGTACGCCGGCTCCCTTGGCCAAAAAAGCGAGATGAGTGCCGCAACCCCAGAGTCGGCCATGACTGGACCTAATGGTCAGGGGTCCCTTTACCTTTATAAACTACCTGGTAGTGGAGGGGGGTGGGTAGGTAATATTACTGTGCACAGTAGGTTGTCTTCCCCATAGCCTCTCTGTAGCCATTGAAATTGTGGCGAAAACCTTTTCTTCCTATTGCAAGTGGTGTATTTGTGTTTGTGTATTTATGCAACATATGTATGCACACTATATGCAGTTCCTTGCAGACAGGAGGTGGCATTGGTGATGGCTGATCCTGCTGAGGGCAACAGTCTTCCAGTTACCTAATGGTGAAGAAAAAGAGCTCCATTCTGCTTTGACAAATCTGCATCTTGATATGCACAGTAGTTACATTTCCCCACCTGATTTGGAGCTTAACCAATTTTGGTGCAGTCAGCGCCGGATTTAGGTTTGATGAGGCCATATGCTACTGAAGGTAATGGGGCCCTTTATATGTCCAGCTGTCCTTTGTCAACAACAAATTGTCACTGTTTATTGTGTTGAATATACAGTGGTACCTCGGGTTAAGAACTTAATTCATTCTGGAGGTCCGCTCTTAACCTGAAACTGTTCTTAACCTGAAGCACCACTTTAGCTAATGGGGCCTCCCGCTGCCGCCGCACGATTTCTGTTCTCATCCTGAAGCAAAGTTCTTAACCTGAGGTACTATTTCTGGGTTAGCGGAGTCTGTAACCTGAAGCGTCTGTAACCCGAGGTACCACTGTATGCTGTATTGGAATTTATGGACCTAATAGGTATCTAAAGCCATTTGCACATGTTGCCATGCAACCAGTCCATGCAGAATGTAGGCACTCTGTAGATAGAAATGAGCAAACCAGTGATATTTTAGGGAACAGGCTAGCAGGCGGGGCCCATTAGTTATATCATAGGAGCCTACACAACACAAAACACTGTTGCTGTATGTAGATTTTATTTTATCTTATATTTTGGAAATGTACATCCAGGGTTTCTTCCTTTAATTTGTTTTTGGGGGGCCCAAGAGAGTGGGGCCCTAAGCTATAGCTTGTTTAGCTTATACGTAAATCCGGCACTGGGTACAGTCGTACCTTGGAAGCTGAATGGAATCTGTTCCGGAAGTCCATTTGACTTCCAAAACGTTCGACTTCCAACGTGTGGCTTCTGATTGGCTGCAGGAGCTCCTGCAGCCAATCGGAAGCTGTGGAAGTACCACCAGACGTTGGGCTTCTGAAAGAATGTTCAGAAACCGGAACACTCACTTCCAGGTTTGCAGTGTTCGGGAGCCCAAACATTTGACTGCTAAGGCGTTCGTCAACCAAGGTTCGACTGTATTTAAAACTAATTTCTGACCTGAACGCAATAAAAGTGGAGCAGTTAACTTGAACTGAATCCCAAAATATACCGTATTTTTCGCCCTATAGGACGCACCGGCCCATAGGACGCACCTAGTTTTCAGTTGGGGAAATCAAGGAAAAAAAATATTATTCCCCCCCCCCCACAGCTCTGGGAGCAGCGGACAGGCTGCACGCAGCCTGTGCGCTACTCCAAGACCTTCTCCCTACCTCTGCCACCTTCCCACTGCCTTCCCGCTGCCCCCCGATCCTCTGGGGCTGGCGATGGGGGGAAGCGCTGCTTTCCCCCACTGACAGCCTCAAAGAGCAGACTCTTCTGGCTTCAGCGAAAGCAACGCGAAGCCTCCGGAGCGCAGGAGCCTGCATTCGCCCCATAGGAGGCACACACATTTCCCCTTCATTTTTGGAGCGGAAAAAGTGCGTCCTATGGGGCGAGAAATACGGTAGTTGTTTTACCTTGATTGCTGCCACCTTTTGGTGGCTGAAAAGGGGAACGTGTGATCCTTTTTATTTTTTATTCTTTTGCATCTCTTTCATGCTCAGATAAGGTGGACACTATTTTTTCTTATGGGACTCTGATCCCACAAAACAGGGAGCTTATTAAACCCCCAAACTGCTTGGGTTTCTCCCCCCTCCCACAGTTCTTTTTACCAATATTTCCTCCAAAATCCAATATTTAGAAATGTTTAGCCAAGGATCTAAATGGCAGCATAAATATATATCTCTGATCACCACAGGACGATAAACGCATCAAGTGGCCTTTAAAAGGCGATTTAACATCCAGCAATTTACAGCTCCAATAAGGTAATGTTCCAGGGACTACGAGGTCCAAAAAGCAAAATTGTAAAACTTGATTTAAGGGAGGAAATAAATAGTATCTCTTCTGAAGCATCAGACTCTGAAATGGCAAGGCGAGGGGTGGGGGTGGGCTACGTCAGCAAAAAGGCAGGAAATCAATCAGCTTTCAATATGGTGGCCGATGGGGAGTCAGATGCTTACATAGACAAAAACCAAAAAGCGCTAGCCTTGGACTGGGCAATTGATCTAGCCCCCTTCAAAAGACGATTTGGCACGCCACTGGCAGACCTTAAGGAAATCTCCAAAACAGGCTAATGAAGCTACGAATTGAAAATCAGTCTGAAATTCAGTTGCTTCAAAAGGCAACTGATGACCAATCGCTTAAGCCAGAAGAAAAATTGGACGGAGACAGGCAGAAAAACCTTAAACTTAATGGTTTACCTGGAGAAATGGAAGGGGGAAGATAATGGTTTCATTTATAACCGACTGGCTACTGACCTTGACACACAAGGATTTTGCGTGGACGCCTAGAGTCCCAATTACGAAAAGCAGAGCAGGTGAGGTCCCAGGGGACATTGTGATGCAGTTTGAGCACTCCAGGCTCAACGATACAGTCTTCAAAGCCCTTAGGAATATCCGGAATATAAAATATAATGATTCCACAACTGAAATCTTCCAAGATATTAGCCTTGCTACTCTCAGCAGGAGTTTGAGAATGTAAAAACGTCCATATATTCTGGACCAAGGGGGTCTTTGATATCATTGCTAAAACCATTAAACACCCTCTCTCGCCAAATCCAGCGTTAGCCTTGCTTTCATTTAACATAGATTCTGACCTCACTATTCAACATAAATATTTAGTTTTCTTTCTACAGACGGCTATCTCAGAGTGACAAACTGGGCTTAGAAGGGTAGCAGAAGGTGTTACAAAGAGAGATACCTTTGTTGAAACCTGGACTCCTTTATTTTCATATGTAAGGCAAGAAGATAACAATTATCTCTCGCCAGCTACTCAAATTTGTATATGGAGAGGCTATATTGAAGGTTAATGTCTTAAGAATATGTTTGAAATGACACTACAAACTGGATGGTGTGTTTTTTGTGGAGATTGTATTATATAACTAGACTTGTACCCAGTTATTGTTGTGAAAAGTTTTATTATTTTGGACAATAAAAAATTTACTGGGAAAAAAGGGTTTAGAAAACACAGTAACCTGCACTGGAAGCCACACCCTGCATTAACAATACGAAAATATATTTCCAGTGGTTGAACTAAGTGGTTGTTGATCTTTTCTATAAAAAGCAATTTAGTTAGCACAGTTTTTTAAAATTGTTTTGGCCATTATAGAATATAAAAATCTGTAAGCAAAAACTGAAAAAGAACTATTGGCAACTACTTTTCATATGTTTAATGTATTTTCTGTATCTCTCTGCAATTAGTTCTGGCAGACTCCCCTTGCCTCTGTGTTGCTGTTTCTTGAGTCCCTTCTACTGCAGTATTTTCTGCTGTCTGCCCTGTCATGCCTGGAACCTATGACATTTTTCTGGAATTGATATTAGGCGAACAAATTAGCCCACACAGATTAGTTCAAGAGCCCCGTCACTGTTTTCTCTTCCCTGGCCTTGATAAGGAAACCAATTAAAAGCCATGAAGCATGTTTAACGACAGTGCTAAATGGGCCACATCACAAATTAAAAATTCACCATGTACAGAGAAAGTTATTTACCGTGGTTTGCTTAAGAAAATAGTATCCATTATTTTTATTCCTGCTTTTAAGGGCCACAACCAGGAACTGAGACAAATAAAAGTGGAAGAACCCTGTTTTTCACCTTACCTGCATGACCTTCCATTTCCCCTCTGGATTTCTACCCAAGAAGCCCACCTGACTGATAGACTGCAATTGCAGACTGTCAGGCAGGCATACCTTACCACCCATTGCACTTTGCTCTTCCCCAGTTTTTCTGTGCCAGATATTGAAAGGGATCGATAACTTTCCAACCTTCAGTTCTGCCAGTCTCTCAGCAGCAACCCTAGCTGATATATTTACTCACTTGTCAGTTTATTTTATATGCAACTTTTCTCCCAGTGTAGAACCCAAGGCAGCTCACGGCATAAACAAAAACAGGGGATTCCACCCACCCACCCATGGCTTTGCCATCCAATATTGGCAGAGACCAATAGCTCCAAAAGGAATGGTTTGGGCCTAGCTCAAATGGGGAGTGGCTCCAGCTGACGGGGGGGGGTGTATCCAGGTGGATTATGGAAGGCTGTGTAGAACAGGAAAGAGTGTGGCTTTGAGATTTTTGAGAAACTTATTATTACTTGGTAGGGTGTGCCCATGGAACGCGGGTGGCACTGTGGGTTAAACCACAGAGCCTAGGGCTTGCTGATCAGAAGGTTGGCGGTTCGAATCCCCGCAACGGGGTTAGCTCCCGTTGCTCGGTCCCTGCTCCTGCCAACCTAGCAGTTTGAAAGCACATCAAAGTGCAAGTAGATAAATAGGTACCACTCTGGTGGGAAGGTAAACGGCATTTCCGTGCGCTGCTCTGGTTGGCTAGAAGTGGCTTAGTCATGCTGGCCACATGACCCGGAAGCTGTACGCCGGCTCCCTCAGCCCGTAAAGCGAGATGAGCGCCTCAACCCCAGAGTTGTCCGCGACTGGACCTAATGGTCAGGGGTACCTTTACCTTTAGGGTATGCCCTGGGTGCCTTAATTCTCACTGTGTTGGAAAATAGAGAGTTTTTTCAGTGGACAAGGGAGTTCCAAGTTATTATCTGTCTCTCAGAGTGAACCAGTACAGTAATATCTCCATGAACATCCGCCTCATCTAGCGTCCATTCTGGCAAACGTCTGCAGCAAACCCGGAAGTACCGGAACGGGTTACTTCTGGGTTTGTCGCTCGCGCATGCGCAGAAGCGCAAACCGCTCCACGCATGTGCGCAGACGCGGCACTTTGCCCTGCGTCCTTTTCGGCTAGCGGCCAGGGCTCCGGAACGAATCCCGTTCGCAAAACAAGGTACCACTGTAGTATCATTTGGGTCAATGGTTTCTCTATAAATCTATTCCAGCCCGGTCTTTACCAATTGATAATTCTGTTGATTAGTAGCTCAGTTTTGCAGTAGCAAATGTGGTTCTAATTACAAGCAAAATAGGAGTCTGATCTCATGTGTGGGAGATATGCAATCAAATCTAACAACGCATCTTCTTGCTAGTTAGCATCTGAAGGGGTTAAGAGCATAGAACCGTATTGCTTATAGACAGACTTGGACCATAGAAACATAATTGTAGAGAAGGCTCTCTGTGATATCATTTCTCCTCCTCTCCTGGGAGGGAAGAAGTAAAATAAGTATTTCCTCTTCTTTCTCTCTCTACCCCACCCCCTTCAACCAGCCATGCAGACTGATGTCTGTCCGCTTACTGCAACATCAGGTATATGCCTGAAGCGGTTTTTGATGTAAACACAAGTCTGTTACCGGCATTTACTAATAATGCTGTTGCTGCTTAGGACAAACGCTTGACTGTGAGTAAACTATATGTTTTAAACTTACTTTTCAGTCTGTAGCCTACTTCTTTGATAAATGGGGTGACAAAGGGGGAGACCAGTCTAACTGCTAACTGCGATGCTTTCAGTTAAACTGCTTAAGATGGGATTTCAACTTTGCTCAGCCCTGTGCTTTTAAACGCAAACTGTAAGCTGATTCTTTTGTCTGTTAACCCGCATACATGGATCTGTAAGAGGGATAAAAAACCCATCATCACAGACATGCGAAGCAAGAAAAGGAGAGGATCGAACTGTAATAGTCAACACTGCACTTTGGTCAAATCCTCACCTTTTTGAAAGATCTTTGATCTCAAATTTAGAGAAAACGAATGGAAAATTTTATCATTTGAAATGTGTCAGAAAAAGGGCCCTGCAGTTCCTTCTGCAATTTCTGAGATGATCAAAGAGATATTTTTAAAAAAGACACAAACGAAGGCCCATTGCAGGCTGAGGCCCATTCTCTGTGATGTGGTAAACCTGTGGTGAGCAAAGCAGCTTATGGAGAACATGGAGGCACTCATCTTTTTGATGTTCATATTTCTAGCCAGGACTTAGATAGGAAGCTTTGATTCTCCACCTCCTGCCACTTCCAGGAGAATCCTCAGAGCATCATTGTACACTTATATCAGAATATACTGGCCAGGGCAGTTGCTGCAAGAGCTCTGGCACCCTCTTGACTGGCAAGCCTCTTCAGGGCTTGTCCTTCATCCTGCTTCCTGGTACCTAGTTTCTTCGTGTTCCACCCATCTCCCAGCGCACCACTGGGACTCTTGGTCACAGACTCTGACTCTGTAGTCCCATTATTCTTACCTCTAAGCACTGCATGCTTCCTTCCTTCTTCAAATCCCGTTTCTTCCACCTTCAGATCCCGTTTCTCCTCACATTTCTCACCATCTCTATTCCCCTGTGTTGCTCACTCCATAAGTGGAATGGAACGCATCCCAGCAGTTCCTCTCCTGCTTCTCTGTTTTCCTCCTCCTGATTCCTAATCAAGGTCGTACCTCCCTCTCAGCATTTCTACTTTTTCAATAATTTTTTATTGGGTTTTTGATAATTTTATACATCTAAAACAAAACCATTTCAAACATTAGAATACAAGGTTCTTTTGAACCTTCAGACCTCCCTCCCTCCCTCTGTGGGTTCCATGTTTTTGTTAACTGCATCTTTTACCTTTATCCATCTATTATATAACCATAATTCCCATAGCCTCCTTTCATCTTTCTGGTTCCTGCCACCAGCCAGACCTTGTTTCTTGCAAGTGGGGTTTCCTAGGGCCTCCCAGAGGCACAACACAATCACTGCTGCCGCCTCACAAGGTTTACTGCAGGGGTAGGCAACCTAAGGCCCAGGGGCTGGATCTGGCCCAATCGCCTTCTAAATCTGGCCTGCGGATGGGCCGGGAATCAGTGTGTTTTTACACGAGTAGAATGTGTGTTTTTATTTAAAATGCATCTCTGGGTTATTTGTGGGGCATAGGAATTCGTCCCCCCCCCAAGAAAAATATAGAGTCCGGCCCCCCACAAGGTCTGAGGGATAGTGGACCGGCCCCCTTCTGAAAAAGTTTGCTGACCCCTGAGTAAAATGGTTGAATGAAATTATTTCAGAAATAAAGGAGCGCTCTTTCAGATTCCCCAGATTTTTGAAGAACCACACTTCCCAGGTTTTTCAACCACACACAGAAACACGAATCACGTGGAATATGGGAGCAGTGTGTGCTTTAAGAATCTCCTGGGACTGTCACGTTCCCTGACCTTGACCCACACTCAAGCACAGAATAGGGCACTGATTAAAGCAGGGGTAGTCAACCTTTTTATACCTACTGCCCACTAATGCATCTTTCTTGATGGTAAAATTTCCTTCCTTCCCACCAGTGCTCAATGGAAGGAAGATTCAGCTTGTGCCGTAGAAACCCCTACCGCCCACCTAGAATCCTGAAATGCCCAGTAGTGGGCAGTAGTGACCAGGTTGACAACACCTGGATTAAAGGCACCCTCTGGAAGGGTCACTGCTGCCCACTCCAAGTCCTTCCAGTCCAGAGTACATTACTTTACTCCTCAAATTTGGAAGACTTAATCACAGAGTAAGGCCCCATCACCCCCATGCTGCTAGTAATGTTTAAATGTCTAAACACATGTTTGAAAACACACCGTATAGCCTAAAACCTTGTTATTTAAAACTGTCCGTTTTCCCCCTGACCCTTAAGAAACGTGAACAATTTACTCTTCACTAAATATTTAAATATAAAGAGGTGAGGAAAACACACATCTTTTCTGCCTGACAAAATGTTTATAGTTCCATGGCTCTATAGGACATGGTTATGGAGATTGGTTTATTTTGCTATATTTCTGCGATTGCTGGCGGCTGCCTTGAACATGTCTTGTCAGAAGGATGGGAAACAGGTTTAACTTAATAACTAATAAGTTGAAGTACACCTCTCTTGGAGATATTTCTATTAGATCACAGTCCTCCTGAGGGATGGATGTGCAGGTGTGCCTGAATGGAATGAAAGATTATGAGTTCTTGGGAGGGAGGGATGAGTGTGTGTGTGTGTGTGTGTGTGTGTGTGTGTGTGCAAGAGAGAGAAAGTGTAATAGTGTTTAGCTTAGTTTTAGATGTTATGTTGTTAATATTGTTTTATAGATTATAATTTTTTTAATGAGGATTTGTTAATTATATAGTAGGACTTGTGCTGTTATTGTGATGTATAGCCTATTTTTTTAGTTGCTGGTTCACTAATAGTGTTTCATAGAATGCAATTATTTTATTGATGTTTAGTTAATTATATTATATGATCTATGCTGTACTTGTGGTGTTTTGTCAGGTTATTGGTTTTAAGTTGCTTTGGGATTCATGTGAATGGAAAGTGGTGTATAAGTGCAATCAATCAATCAATCAATCAATCAGACACAAACATTTAAGTAAAGACAATGGCCGATTTGTTCCTGACCCCTGCACATTCACAAGCCCACTCCTCCCTGTTACACCCCATTTTGCCCCCCCCACCTTACCACCACCCCTGTCCCACCCCCTTTTCCAGCCACTTCTGGCTCGTCACAATGCGCATGTGCGCGATCCCACGTCAATTGGACATGTGTAAATCGGTTGCCTATACTTAACTATTTTCAAGGGACGGGTGGTCTCCTGTGGAGACAGAAGGGACAGGATCCTACCATTCTTCCATAAGGCTCTCCCACAAACTAGAACGCCAGTTTGGGACAGTGTCTAGGGTGATTCATTCACACTTTAAAAACATGTATTTTAGCAGTTCTGCATCTCCATTCTTTCTATCAATCAGTTATATAGAACCTACAGCTGCTACATAATAAGCATTCTTAAGCACGCTTCCTACTTAAATTTAACATAAAAAGGATTGGGAGTTTTGTTCACTTCAAAGGAGTTATTCTGACAAAGGCCTGAAAACTGAATTTGTGAATCAAAAAAAGCTCCCCAGTGTCTTTCCCCCTGTTTCTAATGCAAAGCAGTGTGATAGAGCTGATACTGTGACAATCCTCAAACCTTTTCCTTCAAAAGGAAGTCAAAGGGAACTATTCCAGAGTAAGAATTTAGAGGATTGCTGCCTAAAGCAGTTAAACTTATTCTGTGATGAAAAAGAATTTAGATTAGCATAAAAGCAAGTAAATGTTTAAGCAACCCAAGGAAACCTTGGGTACAACTGTATCTGCAGTGTCTCATTATAAAGCCCTAGTGAAAGAAATATAAGAAATATAAATGCACATTCTCTCTTATCTTGAACTCTGTTTAGATTTTTCCCAAAGACCCATCAAGACTCTGTTGACACAGACAGCGTTCCTTCTTTATCTGGCAAAAATATAAGACTCACAGAGCAATACTTGCAATAGTCCCACCACATCTGAACTACTGGAGCAAGTCAAACTACAGTGACTTTTGCTTGTAGCAATGACATGATGGATGTTTGCTTGACTCTCTCCCAATGCATTGAAGGAATGCACAGAGAAGCTGAGGTTTTTCCTGCCTTCTGCCATTGCCATCTGCACATGTCATGCTGCCCACCAGTTGGATCATGTGAAGATGCAACTGTGTCTGCACAGTTCTCTGTAACAGGGGAACACCATCAAACACACTTTCAGTGTATAATGGGGAGGGAGGTGTTCCAGTAAACCAGGGGTCAGCAACCTTTTTCAGCCATGGGCCGGTCCACCGTCCCTCAGACCATGTGGTGGGCTGGACTATATTTGGGGGGGGGGGAATGAACGAATTCCTATGTATTTGGAATCCTGCCTCTTAGTGACACAATCAGTCCTTCACAGCTGTTTATTTCTGTTCAAACTGCAGATGCAGTGCAGATAGAAGATGTGGATTTTGTTCATTATTTCATATAATTGAAATTATTCTGTAGAATGCAGTTTAAAAGCTGCTACCATTGCATCTATGATGAGTTACTTCCAAGTGTCTATAGAGAAATAATAATAATAATAATAATTTATTATTTGTACCCCGCCCATCTGGCTGAGTCTCCCCAGCCACTCTGGGCGGCTTCCAACAAAGATTTAAAATACATTAAAATGTCACACATTAAAAGCTTCCCTAAACAGGGCTGCCTTCAGAGGTCTTCTAAAAGTCTAGTAGTTGTTCTTCTCTTTGACATCTGATGGGAGGGTGTTCCACAGGGCGGGCGCCACTCCCGAGAAGGCCCTCTGCCTGGGTCCCTGTAGCTTTGCTTCTCTCAGTGAGGGAACTGCCAGAAGGCCCTCGGCGCGGGACCTCAGTAGAACGATGGGGGTGGAGACGCTCCTTCAGGTATACTGGACCGAGGCCGTTTAGGGCTTTAAAGGTCAGCACCAACACTTTCAAATGTGCTCGGAAACATACTAGGAGCCAGTGTAGGTCTTTCAAGACCAGTGTTATGTGGTCTCGGCGGCCACTCCCAGTCACCAGTCTAGCTGCCGCATTCTGGATTAGTTGTAGTTTCTGGGTCACCTTCAAAGGTAGCCCCACATAGGACTTCCGGGGTGGCGCCATCGGTAATGGCGGGCTCCCTCTGATCCGGAGGGGCTGGCTCTACGGAAATCGGGTCTGTTCCGCTACGGCGAAGCGGGGACCCTTTAAAAAATCACAGGCGGGTGAAGCCTGTGACCGTGGGACTCAGCGGGCACCTTTCACGCCCCCCCAATTTGTAAAGAAACCCAATTACGGGCTCTGGAGCGAAGCGGGGCAAGCGGCGCGGTGCTGAGAGTCAACTGCTTCTTCCGTGGAGTGAAGCCGCATAGCCGTTACCGGAGAGCGCTACCTTTTTCCTGTGACAATCTGGCTACAAAAAACAACTACCCGTGAGTAGGTTAAATTTGGACAATTGGACTCTAAACAACGACCCGTGAGTAGAACGGAAAACTGGACTAAGAAATTTCCTTAATTTGGCACTGAAGCAGGAAGGTCTAAACAGGAAGTCAGCCTTCCGCTTTTTGTAGAAAGATTAAAGCAAAGACATGGCAAACTAGAGTTTAGTAAATTGTTTGTAAAGGATCAACTTTCATCATCTAAAACTACTGAACCCCCTTTGGAAGCAGGAGAAGAGGGGGAATTTTTTCCCCCTGGACTGTTTAAACCTGCAGAAGAGTGTGTAAAGAAAAGCAATTTTCCACCGTCTTGAACCTGGGAGCGGGGTGTCAGGACAGACGTTTTCGGAGTTCATTGACTATAGATAAACGTTTTTGACAGACAGTTAAAAGAAGAGAAACATAGTGATTCCATTGTTCTCCTTCACAGTTAAAAGGAATAAAATATTGACAAAATATCTGAAAAAGGAAACTTTGTTGTTAGATCTGCTTTAAAAAAAAAAAGAGAGATGGATACAAATAGAAGTTCTTCCCCTAGAGGGAGCTTGTGAAACTGTTATTAAATCTGAACTGGGGAGCTTTGCAGCTGCAATAGATTAAGATCGTGGGATCAGACTTTGACCTTGCACAACAATGTACTCGGAGGCTCTGGTGCGTGCTTTCTGTAAGACAAGTGCTTTATTGGAACAGTTACATGAGAAGACGGATTTGATGACTGTTGCGATCAGAAATTTTGGACAGGTAGTGGGTATCTATATAGAACCCACTCAGGAATCAATTCAGGAGTGTGCTCTGACAGATCAGATGAGGGAAGAGGCTGTGGCTGGACCCCGGGAGGCAGAGATGGAGGGAACTGTGGCCCAGCAGGAACATGAGTTGTTGGATCTGACGAATGAACCTGGAAAAAGCCAGATTTGGAGAGATAGAGTCTTGTTTGGCTTGGAGATGGGGGGCTGGATAGACCCCCCTATGCAGGAATGTTTTGACTTTTCAAGTCTGGCGTTGGGCCGGAAGGAGTTTGGACTTGTGGGGGTCCTCAACTTTGGAGGGACCTTGAAACATGCTTTTAAATACCACATGGAGTTCAGTGTGGACTATGGAAAAGGGGCTGATCTGTCGAGAAGGGACAAAAATATTGTCAAGCTGGAGTCTCCACGAGTGAAAGGAGCAGAAGACAAAGTAAAGTACAGGTATAAATATGAAGATGATTTGCGGAAGGGACATGGAAGAGACTTAAGGGCCTTGGACATAAGGTTACCAGGTTAATGAACTAGATGGATGGGATAGAAAGGACTGTCAAAACCCAAGACCAGGAGGAAGAGACGTTGGATGAAGATTGGAAGAAAGTTTTTAAAAATTCTATTTAGGAATGTTTTCTAAAATTAATGAGTATTAGAAAAATGTTGGAACGAAATTATTTGGCTTTAGCAGAAATGTTAAAAAGAACTATGTAAGAATATGCTATGGTTATGAGAAATTGGTATAAATAAGATTTAAGTTTTAAGTTTTAGGGTTTTTTATGGTAAGATAAGGCTAAAATAGATTAAGGCAATTTAATGACAGAATATTATGAAAAATGGAAAGGATTTGCTGTGACAATCAACAACTAGAATACAAAAAAGGGAGGTGTGAGGAGGTCGATGAAATAAGGTAATGACAGTTAAGGATTTGGGAATATTGGATCTGCTTTTAAATCTTTGCGGTTTATTTTTGCTTTCTGATTTTGATGTGCTATGTGTTTTGTTTTTGCTTTTTGCTTTTGACTTTTATCGATTTGTATTGTTTAATTGTTATTTGTTTTTTTCTTGTTTTCCCCCCTGTTTTTTTTGTAATTTTAAAATTCTCAATAAACACCATTTAAAAAAACAAAACAAAGGTAGCCCCACATAGAGTGCATTGCAGTAGTCCAAGCGGGAGATAACTAGAGCATGCACCACTTTAGCAAGACAGTCTGTGGGCAGGGAGGGTCTCAGCCTGCGTACCAGATGGAGCTGGTAGACAGCTGCCCTGGACACAGAATTGACCTGCGCCTCCATGGACAGCTGTGAGTCCAAAATGACTCCCAGACTGCGCACCTGCTCCTTCAAGGGCACAGTTACCCTATTCAGGACCAGGGAGTCCTCCACACCCGCCCGCCCCCTGTCCCCCCAAAACAGTACTTCTGTCCAGCTAGCACCCTCGTCCTCAATTTTTGCCTGTATTCTCACTGAAATAAGGTGGTTAAATGTGAATATTGTGTTCAGCTTACTTCCGTTTTACTTCCAAAATTTGCATGGTTGGAGGAATTGCCAGATAAGGCTGGTTCAAATTCTGAGAGTTCTAGAGGATTGTCATTTGTAATCGGGTGACTCTTCCACTCTCATTATTCAACAGCTAAACAGGGGTGGAACTTGAAGTCTCAGACAAGTGGTGGAATGAAAAATCAATTACCAAGTGAAAAATGCTTTGGTTGTTTCCCAGTCAACGTTGCAAAGAAGTTTTGGTGAAATGTCACACATCAGATATTCCATCTGCACTGAAAATAGGGCATGTTTTCTCGGCCAAGTGTAATAATTGAAAGTATTCTACATTTATTTAATCGTTTGCCTTTTTCTTCCCTGTCTGCCAGTGTACATGTAACATACTCCAAATGACTTAATTGCATTAGAAGATGTGTTCTGCATTAGGCAGCAGCCTGTGGGCTTTCATTGAAGAGAGACCCACAAAGAGCACATTTATTGCAGTTATAACGCCATGAATTACAACTGCCGGTACTGGACCAGGGGTGTGGGGATTTGTTATGTTAGAACCAGCTAGTGTCCCTCCTCTCAGATTTTGCCCATGCTCTCACCAAAGGGATGTGGTTTTGCTTTACTATTAAAGTTTACTTTACAGCTTTAGCTGGAGAAGATATTTGAAGCCAATGCATTTCCAAACCTGGCCATTTAATTCCCTCATGCAGCCAGAATATTCAAAATGTCTTACGTAAGAGACAGGCACTTTCATAGCTGTTAAACGTTACGTGGGGAAGCAAGTCTTCCAGTTTTCTTACCTCCAAGAGTTGGTGAAATTCACTCTCATTCCCTGTAGCAACTTTAATGTTCTGGGTTCACCACTGTGTAGTATTCACTTAATCCTCAGAGACTGCAAAACTGAGAAAGACCAAGTGCTTTCTGTTGCTTTTACTGCTCAGTCGAAGTCCCTATCAGTGAAATAGACATACAGTGGTGCCCCGCAAGACGAATGCCTCGCAAGACGGAAAACTCGCTAGACGAAAGAGTTTTCCGTTTTGGAGGTGCCTCGCAAAACGAATCTGCTATGGGCTTGCTTCGCAAGACGAAAATGTCTTGCGAGTTCCTGGTTTTTTTTTGCCTTTTCCCCCTCTTTTTCTAAGTCGCTAAGCCGCTTATCTGCTTATCCGATAAGCTGATAAACTGCTAAAAGCCGCTAAAAGCCGCTAAAAGCCGCTAAAAGCCGCTAATAGCGCTAATAGCGCTAATCCGCTAATCCGTCAATGGGCTTGCTTCGCAAGACGAAAAAACCGCTAGACGAAGAGACTCCCAGAACGGATTCTTTTCGTCTTGCGAGGCACCACTGTATGGTAATCTCCTCCAGTATCCTGCATATGTGATAATACACTAGAATGATCATTCCCAGCCAGAGGGGCTGTTCCATAAATTGATGTCAAAAGGGGTTTGTGTTCTCATTGAATGGGGAAGGCTGCAGTAGTCCCAAGTGGAACATGATCTAGAATGCGGGTGGAAAGCCGCACATTTGTAAACAGTCCATAGTTTAGCATATGAGACTAGGTGGGCAAGGAGGGTAATAAGAGATTATTATTTATTGTAAAAGGGACGTGGGTGGCGCTGTGGGTTAAACCACAGAGCCTAGGACTTGCCAACCAGAAGGTCAGCGGTTCGAATCCCCGCGATGGGGTGAGCTCCGTTGTTCGGTCCCTGCTCCTGTCAACCTAGCAGTTCGAAAGCACATCAAGGTGCAAGTAGATAAATAGGTACCACTCCGGCGGGAAGGTAAACGGCATTTCCGTGTGCTGCTCTGGTTTGCCAGAAGCAGCTTAGTGATGCTGGCCACATGACCCGGAAGCTGTACGCCGGCTCCCTCGGCCAATAAAGCGAGATGAGCGCCACAACCCCAGAGTCAGTCACAACTGGACCTAATGGTCAGGGGTCCCTTTACCTTTATTTATTGTAAAGAAGAAAATAATGCTCAGGTGAAAGAGCTTAGGGCAGCTTTGGTTGATGTATGAAGGCATGTGAAATCCAGCTGGCCCCTTTGCGGAGTCCTCCTGGCTTTGCAGCACTTTGCAATGGCCACCCACATTGCAAGCACCTAAGAATAAGCCATAAGCACCTCCCACTTTTGGCCAATAGCCATAGTTGTGCAGGAGGTAATGTTGGCTGCCAGAACCTGCACCATGAATACTGTAGTGCAGCCAGCGGGGGTGAAACGACGGCCCTTCATGGGGCTACCTTTGAAGGTGACCTGGAAAGTACAACTAATCCAGAATGCGGCAGCTAGACTGGTGACTGGGGGCGGCCACTGAGACCACATAACACCGGTCTTGAAAGACCTACATTGGCTCTCAGTACGTTTCCGAGAACAATTCAAAGTGTTGGTGTTGACCTTTAAAGCCCTAAACGGCCTCGGCCCAGTATACCTGAAGGAGCATCTACACCCCCATCGTTCTGCCCGGACGCTGAGGTCCAGCGCTGAGGGCCTTCTCGCGGTTCCCTCATTGCGAGAAGCAAAGCTACAGGGACCCAGGCATAGGGCCTTCTAGGTAGTGGCGCCTACCCTGTGGAACACCCTCCCATCAGATGTCAAAGAGATAAACAACTACCTGACATTCAGAAGACATCTTAAGGCAGCCCTGTTTAGGGAAGTTTTTAATGTATGACATATTAGTGTATTTTTGGTCTTTGTGGAAGCCGCCCAGAGTGGCTGGGGAAACCCAGCCAGATGGGCTGGGTACAAATAATAAATTGTTGTTGTTGGTCTCTAAACTCCCCTCAGCCCCAGCCAGCAGGGTCAATGGTCAATGGTATTGGGAGATACAATCCGCAATGTCCGATAGGCCACAGAAGCTCCACTTCTGCTTCATTGCATGCTGAGATTTAAGTCTGGGGGGAAATATGTGTGCGACATCTGGAGTGCAACTATAGAGGATGACTGGAAGCAATGGGCCTTGAAGTATTTGGCAACACTTGCGCAAATTAAATCTGCATCATAGGGGGGCAAGGGAAGCAAGGAGAAACAAAAGCCCATTTCTCTGTGCTCAAACAACCACATCAACACCCCCCCCACTGTTTCCACATTGATCTTTCTCGTGGTTTCAGCCCCTAGAATTGTACACAAGAAGAACAAACCTATCCATTCTTAAGGAAATCAGCCCTGAGTGCTCACTGCAAGGACAGATCATGAAGCTGAGGCTCCAGTACTTTGGCCACCTCATGAGAAGAGAAGACTCCCTGGAAAAGCCCCTGGTGTTGGGAAAGATGGAGGGCACAAGGAGAAGGGGACGACAGAGGACAAGATGGTGGGACAGTGTTCTCGAAGCTACCAGCATGAGTTTGACCAAACTGCGGGAGGCAGTGGAAGACAGGAGTGCCTGGTGTGCTCTGGTCCATGGGGTCACGAAGAGTCGGACACGACCCAACGACTAAACAACAACAACAATTGTACACAGGAAATAGAAGTTCTAATTAATGAGAGAACATAGGGCTCGTTTACACTTCCAATCCTAGAAACCATGGGTCCATGTGGTTTTCCGCTTGACCCACACTTTCTAGAAGAAGAAGAAGAAGACGACTTTGGATTTGATATCCCGCCTTTCACTCCCTTTAAGGAGTCTCAAAGCGGCTAACATCCTCCTTCCCCTTCCTCCCCCACAACAAACACTCTGTGAGGTGAGTGGGGCTGAGAGACTTCAAAGAAGTGTGACTGGCCCAAGGTCACCCAGCAGCTGCATGTGGAGGAGCGGAGACGCGAACCCGGTTCACCAGATTACGAGACTACCGCTCTTAACCACTACACCACACTGGCTCTCAAGGCACGAGTCCAAGCAGTTTCCCCCTTGCCCCACTCCTTTCCCAGGGAAAACCTGCTTTTTAGCTCTAAATTGGAGCAAACATCAATCTGGAGAGAACCCGCGTTGCCATTTGTTCCGACTGAGTGCTCAAGAGCTCTTTTCCCCGGAGAAAGCAGCCCTACACAAAGAAGTGTGCATAAGCACTAACTTGAGAAGCACTTCAAACAGAGTTCTCTTAAAGTTTTCCCACTCAGCCTATTAGTATGTATTAATTTTTGGTGCGACTTTTTAACTTCCCTCATTATAATAATTGCTCTGCCTAATGTGCTGGGAGATCGCTGGATTTTCATATTATTGTTCAGACCAGGGTACAGAAACTACCTGCAGCCATTTGACGTGTTTGCATGATGCTCTGCTGATGTTTTTACATCAAATTCTTGGGTAGGTTTTGGATTGGATCCCTTCCAGCTGATTTCTTGGATGCCAACAAGCAAGAGGTGTTCTTTATCCTTCCAAGTCAGTCTTACTCTGTCCAAAGCCAGAAAGAAAAGATTGCTCTTTGTGTGGTTGTGTTGGGGTGTGCGTGTGTGGAGAGAAAATCTGAAGTAGTTTTCCAGGTACAGTGGTACCTCGGGTTAAGAACTTAATTCGTTCCGGAGGTCCATTCTTAACCTGAAGCACCACTTTAGCTAATGGGGCCTCCTGCTGCCGCCCCACCGCAGCCGCCCGATTATTGTTTTCATCCTGAAGCAAAGTTCTTAACCCGAGGTACTATTTCTGGGTTAGCGGAGTCTGTAACCTGAAGCATCTGTAACCTGAAGTGTCTGTAATCCCAGCATTAGGGGATGATTAGAGTCTGCCTCTGCCTCTGTTTGTGCCAGTCACCTCTGTGCTCAAATCATGGGCTTCCCACGAGCATGTGTTTGGGCACCATAAGAACAGGTTGGGACATGGGCCTGATCCAACAGGCACTTACCATATTCTCATGTTCTTATGACCTTTGTGGCACCACATACCGTATTTTTTGCTCCATAAGACACACCTGACCATAAGATGCACCTAGTTTTTAGAGGAGGAAAACAAGGAAAAAAATATTCTGAATGAAACAGTGGATGTATGATTTTTGTGGTTCATGCTGTGGCCACAGACATGATATGTGATTTGACGGTGAGTTTGGGGTAGCCCAATGCAAAAATCCTGAGACTCCATGGGGATCCGTGCTTTGTAACTACATTGTTGCACCATCGTGGCCCCACAAAACAGTTGATTTGTGGGGGTTTTTTGGTGCAGGTTGTAGCCATGGACATGCTGTGGGATCTGATGGTAAATTTGGGGTGACCCAATGCAAAAATCCTGAGGATCCATGGGCTTTTACCTCCCCCCTTCCAGGCAGCCTCCTTTATCTCTAGCGTCCCTTATCTCCCTCCTGATTGCTTAGCGACCGGCTGCTTCCTTTCAACACTCCCTTCCCTCTTGTTTGCCTTAAGTGTCTTTTCCTTAGCTGGAACAGTTTTTTTGCTCCTCCTTTTCTTCTAATTCCTCTCCTCATTGCTTTAGTCTTCCTGTCTCCTCTCCTTGCAAGTTCGCTGTCTTTAGCTCCCCGCTCCCAGGCAGTCTCGTTTATTGCTAGCGTCCCTTATCTCCCTCCCTGATCGCTTGCCCATTAGCGGCTTTGTTTCAACACCCACTTCCCTCTTTCAAAAAAAAGAGAGCATGATCTGCTTTTCGCCCCTGGGCAGTTCAGGACCACGCATTTGCTCCATAAGACGCACAGACATTTCCCCTTACTTTTTAGGAAGAAAAAAGTGTGTCTTACGGAGCGAAAAATACGGTAACTCTTTGGCAATGGTGATAGGTACACCAAGTGCCCCATCCACACATAACCGCCTCAGAAGTCCTCAAAACTCTGAGCCTGTGTGTCTCTGGTTTACCAACTGCACAATGTCACTTCCATGACGCCACCTGAGTGAAATGCACATGGAGAGGTTCTAGGTTCCCCAGCAATCTTCCTTCTGTGTGGCAAATGTCAGCTTGCCTCCGTTGGCATCACTCGAGTCCTCGCCAGTTAAGAATGGTGGCTGGGTGGGCATGACCCATACTATGGCAGGCTGTAATCTCTGGTCTCTGTTTGGCCTCAGTTCAGAAGTAACTTTCCTTCACTTGCAGCCTTTATGAAATGTACATTGTTTTATGTCCAACAACCATCCTTTGTACACAGCAATGAATGATCTGTATATGTGCACAAACTTAGGAAGTAGTTTGCTAAAATTAACATTTAGGAGGCAGGCATCACTAGTTATTTCACACGTTATTAACTTATATTACAATTCAAATAAGCTTACAGCTGGCAAAAGGAAGTCTCTTTTGTAAAGTGATCTCAAACATAATAGGCTTAATCAGAGATAAATTAAATTAAGCAGCCATGCATACGGCAGCATATTAGCACTGAGTAGGTATTAAATACACTTTCTGCTATCAGTTGCACAAGCGAGGATTGTAGGCAAACAGAAGATAACAGGCTCCAGTAAATAAAGTTTGTTAGAGAAGCCCTATTCCTGACAACACCTTTTTTCTTCTTCTTCTTCTCAATATGTAGCAGGGTCTTTGCAACTAATACCGATGCTCCCTTGTATCTCCAGCTATGCTCAAACTTCACTCCCAGGCAATTAGCCAAAGGCAGAGCAGACAGAACTAATGAATACCTAGACAACAGATGTTCAGCATGTTTCCTGAATGGGAATTTTTTCCAAAGCAGTTTTTTAAAATGCATGAACGAGTCATAGCTACTGATGTGGAAGATGATCATGGCAATTTGCAATTGTTCTGAAAAGGGACTTAATGATTAAGCCTTTGCAATGCAAATAGTCCTAGGGGTTGGGAGATCCCCTTTATGGATCCGTCCTCAAATCCAAGCTATGGCAAGGGAAAGGGGCTGCTGCCATGTGAAGCTGCTGCCATCTGAATTGGTTTATCACTCCCAGCATTGCGCGTTTGGCCAAGCACTGCAGCCCTCTAGACGGCCTTTGCTATGATTTCTTCTTTTAACAAGAGATGTCAGAGATGGAACACGGGACCTTTTGTGTTCTATGTGCCACAGGGTTATTAGCTTATTGTGTCTGCTGTGGACAAGCTTCACAGATATAAATATGCTACTCCAAATGAGAAGGATTTATAGATTTAGGCCGTCGTGACTACAGGCAACTCCTAGTTTGCGTGGGAGTTGCGTTCTGACACACTACGCATGTCAGTGGGGCTGGTATAAGCCTGCCCCATTCTGCCCCCTTCCAGGGCCGAAAACAGTTTGTGTATTGGTGGTTGTGTGTGTGCTGGGTGCACACACACGAGCCTTGCCTGTATTGTTGTTGTTGTTTAGTCGTTTACTCGTGTCTGACTCCTCATGACCCCATGGACCAGAGCACGCCAGGCGCTCCTGTCTTCCACTGCCTCCCGCAGTTTGGTCAAACTCATGCTGGTAGCTTCGAGAACACTGTCCAACCATCTCCTCCTCTGTCGTCCCCTTCTCCTTGTGCCCTCCATCTTTCCCAACCTCAGGGTCTTTTCCAGGGAGTCTTCTCTTCTCATGAGGTGGCCAAAGTATTGGAGCCTCAGCTTCATGATCTGTCCTTCCGGTGAGCACTCAGGGCTGATTTCCTTCAGAATGGATAGGTTTGATCTTCTTGCAGTCCATGGGACTCTCAAGAGCCTCCTCCAGCACCATAATTCAAAATTGCCTGTATTACGGACTGTTAAAGAATCATAGAATTGTAGAGTTGGAATGGACACCAGTGGTCATGTAGCTGAACCCCTTGCAAGGGGCAGAGGAAGGGGGGTACAGTGGGGTGGACTGGCCCAGGTGTCACCACTGGGGGGTGGGGTGACAAAATGCTGGGCAGCATTCACTGTGGGGCCTGCAGGGCACCCAAAGAGGATTAAAATGGAGAGGCAATGCTGATACAATGGCTGTCCTCCTCTCTGTGACATTTCACAGGTTAGGGGGCAGCTGACATCACAGGTGCAGAGCGATCGCCACGGATGCTGATGGAGGCAGCAATGGCATCTCCTTGCTTAGTTAGAGCATCTTTTTGTGAGAAAGAACGAGACATAGCATCACTCAGGCCTTCCTGACAGGAAAAATACATGCGTGGCAGGATTCAGGCAGCTTGCCTTGCTCATTCATCCATCTCTTGGAAACCTATCAGTTGTGCATTGAGAGCTGCTAAAAGTTCCCGAATGTGACCTTAAAATCTTTGGAAAACATCTGACATTCTGTTGCGTTGTGCACACTTAAAGCTCAGTGTAAGGTGACAAGAGCATTGAGCTGCCCACAGAGCAAATTGTGTAAGTAATCTTTTATCTGTGCTGAGCCACAGGAACAATAATTGGAAAATTAAAGTGCCTGTGAACTATGCAACGTTTTGAAATGATTAATGAAGTCAAAGCTATGCAACTATTTCTGTCAACATGCACTTCAGACAACATGCACTTCAGAAAACTGTAGAGAAAGAGTTGCATTCTGTTTAGCGCTTATTTGCCTTGAAAATTCCCCACTTAAAATTATTCACAAACACTTAAATTATTTAACTGGTGACCTGCCTTATTTCACCCTAATGTAGAAGGAAACCCTAGCAATGCTAATTACAGTATATCAGCTGTCGATGTTACAGAGTAAAAGTCAAATCAGCAGTCATTTTTGCATGGTCTGCTCAGTACTGTGGCAACAACAGATCAAACAATGTGAAACAAGATAATCCTGGGACACCATTAAATACTTGCATTAAATACTGGTGAAATATTTTGGCCCACCCACCCACAATACTCTGTTGCTGCTGTATATTATTAATTAACAATATATGGCAAATTTAAATAAATATATCTGTCACAAGAGGGCCAGTAGGAAGTTGATTTCCATACTGAAATGTCTTCATGATCCAGGAAAGGTCCTAAAACAGATAATGGAACAACTGGTCTGTGAGCACTTAGAAAAGGATGCTGTGATTATTAAGTCCCAGAATGCATTTCTCAAAAAACAGTCATGCCAGACAAGTCATCCTTTCTTTCTTTCTTTCTTTCTTTCTTTCTTTCTTTCTTTCTTTCTTTCTTTCTTTTTGATAGAGTAACAAGTTTGGTGGATCAGGGGAATGCTGCGTCCAGTAAGGGTTTTGACAAATTTCCCATGATATTCTTGTGGAGGAGGATGTAAAATGTAGGCTGGATGACGTAGCTGTTAGATGGATTTGTAACTGGTTGAATGACTGGACCCAAAGAATGCTCATTAATGGTTCCTCGTCATCCTGGCAAATCTGACAAGTGGGGTGCTGCAGGGTTCTGTCCTGGGTCAGTTGCTGTTCGACGTCTTTATAAACGACTTGGGTTAAGGATTTGGGGGTGCTCATCCAATTTGCAAATGACACCAAACTGGGAGGGGTAGCCAGTGCCATGGAAGACATAATTGGGATTCACGTTGAACTTAATAGATTGGAGAACTTATCCAGAACTATCAGAATGAATTTCAGTAGGCACAAATGTCGGGATCTACACTTAGTAAGGAAAAACCAACTGCACAAATATTAAGATGTGGGACTCCTGGCTTACCAATAGTACATGTGAAAATGATCTGGAGGTGTTAGTAGGCCACCAACTTAGCATGAATCAACAGTGTGATGGAAAAAGATAAAGGTAAAGGGACCCCTGACAGTTAGTTCCAGTCGCGGACGACTCTGGGATTGCTGCGCTTATCTCGCTTTATTGGTCGAGGGAGCCGGCGTACAGCTTCTGGGTCATGTGGCCAGCATGACTAAGCCGCTTCTGGTGAACCAGAGCAGCACACAGAAACACTGTTTACCTTCCTGCTGGAGCGGTATTATCTACTTGCACTTTGATGTGCTTTTGAACTGCTAGATTGGCAGGAGCAGGGACTGAGCAATGGGAGCTCATCCCGTTGTGGGGATTTGAACCACCGACCTTGTGATCGGAAAAGCATTAGCAAAAAGCTAGTGCTATTCTAGTCTACATCAACAGAAGTGTAGTGTCCAAATCAAGGGAAGGAATGGTACCGCTCTATTCTGTCTTGGTCAGACCACACCTGGAGTACTGTGTCCAGTTCTGGGCGCCTCAATTTAAGAAGGATATTGACAAGCTGGAACATGTGCAGAGGAGGGCAACCAAGATGATCAAGGGTCTGGAATCTAAGCCTCATCAGGAACAGTTGAGGGAGCTGCATATGTTTAGCCTAGAGAAGAGGAGACTGAGAGTAGATAGATTGTTGTCATTTAGTCGTGTCTGACTCTTCGTGACCCCATTGACCAGAGCACGCCAGGCACTCCTGTCTTCCACTGCCTGGTCAAACTCATGCTGGTAGGTTTGAGAACACTGTCCAACCATCTCGTCCTCTGTCGTCCCCTTCTCCTTGTGCCCTCCATCTTTCCCAACATCAGGGTCTTTTCCAAGGAGTCTTCTCTTCTCATGAGGTGGCCAAAGTATTGGAGTCTCAGCTTCAGGATCTGTCCTTCCAGTGAGCACTCAGGGCTGATTTCCTTAAGAATGGATAGGTTTGATCTCCTTGCAGTCCATAGGACTCTCAAGAGTCTCCTCCAGCACCATAATTCAAAAGCATCATATCTTCGGCGATCAGCTTCTTCAGCTCTCACTTCCATACATCCCTACTGGGAAAACCATAGCTTTAACTATACAGACCTTTGTTGGCAAGGTGGAGACAAAAAGCAGTAGATAGGATAGCCATCTTCAGATAACTAAAGGGGTGTCTCATGGATGATGGAGCAAGCTTGTCTTCTCCTGCTCTGGATGGTAGGACCCAAACCAATGGATCCAACATACAAGAAAAGAGATTCTGACAAAACACCAGGATGTACTTTCTGACAATAAGAGCTGTTCAACAGTGGAACAGTCTCTCTTGGGAGGTGGTGAACTCTCCTTCCTTGGAGGTTTTTAAGCAGAGGTTAGATGGCCATCTGTCAGGGATGCTTTAGTTGAGATTCCTGCATTGCAGGGGGTTGGACTAAATGACCCTCGAGATCCCTTCCAACACTACAATTCCATGGCTATAAAATTGGCTTAAGTAGATTCTTGCAGCAGTTGTACTGATCAGATGCTAACAGTCTCCAAAGCCCATTATTTGAATTCATTAAGTACTGTACAATGCAGCACAAGATATTCAAGGCAGAGGCTGGGAGTGTTTATATAACAGTCTTTTATTAGCCAGAATAACATACAAGATGTGTTTTAAGGTCGTAAGGTTCTGTTATTTCCTTGAAGGCTGTCCTCTTCCTTGCAAAAAGCAAAGAAGCAACCCCCGACTGCATGTACAGAATGTTAATTTCAGCCTCAGTTTCACCAGCATTATTGAGCCTCCCCTCTCCCTCTCTGCCCCCAGGCCTTAATTTGTTTGAGGGCTCAGCTAGTATTCATAAAGCAAAGAAAAAGAGTTTAAGTAGCTCTAAAGGAAAAAAAAATCCATATTAGGGCAATATCCTTATTAGGCCAACCATACAAGTGTTCGAGTTCCCCAATACCTAGACTAGATGTTTAAGAAAAATGGCCAGGGCAGGGGAGAAAAAGGCTGCTAACGATAGCTGGATTTAGTAAGCCATCTCTGTATCTGGTAATTTGGATTTGGGGAAGAGCTTGTAGGCATTCAGATGAGATGCTTGCAGGTTTCATGACTGATCTTCCATGCACATTTACTGCAGCAAGCTTTTACTAGCCTCTGTCCTTAGGCAATACAACTTTCCTAAGTGGAGAACAGGAATAAAGAGAAACTAGGCAGCCCTTAGATAAAGAGAGGCGGAAGGCAGCGCAGGTTTTTAAAGGCCCATTTTGAACACGATCGCAGTTGTACTCACTCTTCACTCGACCGCCGCTAAGGAGCTACTCGGTGAATTACTTTTAGATTTACCTTTTCCACTTTTCCATTTAACCCTCTTGGTTTATTGAACCGTGGCAATGTCTGGTGACGTTATCCATAACCTCCGACATTCCTCAGATGAAAATGGGGACATTCTGTTCTACATCAGTAAAAGTGACGATAATAATAGGGTGAAGCACAGCAGAAGCTTGGCGCCCTTTTGGGGGGAGACAGAGGAAGTAGATGAACCCATGTTTTGAAACCTCTTCAGCATTCACCCATTTTATTCTTTATTTTGGGGTGGGTAGAGCAACCACCCACACAAGACGACACTGGAAAGCAACTATTCATGACAAATCTCCTTAGATTTTCCTCTTCAACTCAGCAGGAAACTGAGATATTTCTTTCACAGTTAGCTCTTTAAATGCTTATTGTAGAATGTTTTCTTTTTTTTTAAATGATATTTATTAAAAGTTTAACAGTTACAGAAAAAAGAAAACAAAAGACAATAAAAATTTCAATACATCAAAAAGTAAAAAGCAAAATAAAAAACAATACAGCAAAACAATAAAAAAACAAAAATATTTAAAAACAAAAACATTTAAAAACACATCCAGTATTTCCATATCTTTATCTTTCATTTACTTGTTTCATCTACCTCCTCACACCTCCCTTTTTTGTATTCTAATTCAATTAGCTATTTCAGCAAATCCTTTCCATCTTTCTCAATTTTTGTTCTATAATTTACCTTAACACAATCTGACCTTAAATTTTACACTTTGGCCCATTAACAATCCATTTTTACTTAGTTCTTTATGACACTTCTGCTAAAACCATGTAACTTCATTCCAGCATCCTTCTAGCATTCATTAATTTTACAATGTTTCTGTAAATATACTTTAAATTTTTTCCAATCTTCTTCCACCGACTCTTCTCCCTGGTCTCAGATTCTGCCAGTCATTTCTGCCAATTCCATATAGTCCATCACCTTCATCTGCCATTCTTCCCGGGTGGGTAGATCTTGTGTCTTCCAGTACTTTGCGATGAGTATTCTTGCTGCTGTTGTGGCATACATAAAAAAAGTTCTATCCTTCTTTGGCACCAATTGGCCGACTATGCCCAGGAGAAAGGCCTCTGGTTTCTTCAGGAAGGTATATTTAAATACCTTTTTCATTTCATTATAAATCATCTCCCAGAAGTTCTTAATCCTTGGGCATGTCCACCAAAGGTGAAAGAATGTACCTTCAGTCTCCTTACATTTCCAACATTTGTTATCAGGCAAATGGTAGATTTTTGCAAGCTTGACTGGTGTTAGTACCACCTATAGATCATTTTCATTAAATTCTCTCTTAAGGCATTACATGCCGTAAACTTCATACCTGTTGTGATGGGATTATGAGCTGCTTGTGCGTAAAATCGTATTCCCTCAGAGTTTGTTCAAGTCCACAAACCTCTGTCTGTGACTGAGCCCCTCTGACATGGCTCCTCTTAGTCACTAGAAGATTCCGACAGTGGTTGCTTTGTAATCGCTTCCAACATAAAAGCTCCTTAACGGAAACACGTCTTCTGGACTCTCTGCGTGACAGTTTCCGGCGAGGAGTGGGTGTCGCTACAGGAGGTCCGGAAACCTCACCACTGTTTTCGCTGGAAGTATCTCTGAGCCATCCCCCCAGCTCCCTTTCCCTCAGTTCAGCTTCTCTCCCCCTGCTGGTTTCCTCTTCAGCTGCTAAGTCTCTTCCAACCTGTCTGAGCCCTTTCACCTCCCTCAGTTCCCTGACATCCACCTCCCCTCCAGGGCCCCCTTCACCCCCTCTCGCCCCCTCCTCTACGGGCGGTGAGGAGGCAAAACCCCGGAATGAACTTCCTTCATCTTCCGATGTCTCGAACACTTCTCTCCACCTGTTGCGGTTCCTGGTCTCGAAGCACTCCTCCTCCTCCGAGTCCATCTCCCCTTCCCCTTCCGATTCTGGGAATCCTTCCAACTCCTCCTCCTCCTCAGTGGTCCCAAAGTATTCCCTCCGGAACCTCTCCACAGGCTGAGGTTTCCGCGGGAATCTTTGGCCATTACCCACGTGTTTTCTGACTCCGGTTCTCCTTCCCACGCTACCAAATACTCCACCTGATCCCCTTCCACCTGGCATCTAGGATTTCTGCCACTTGACTGCTGCATTCTCTTTCTTCTATGACCGGTCCCCGAGTGGCCATCCCTTCTCGTCCCCCCTCGTACGGTGACAGTAACGACCTGTGAAATACTGGGTGCAGTTTCATGTGGTTGGGTAACTGGAGCCTGAAAGCCACTGGGTTGACCTGTTGAATGACCTCAAAGGGACCCAACCTCCTGGGTCTTAATTTCTTACAACCTCCTTTGAACGGCAACCCTCGGGCGGAGAGCCACACCCTCTCTCCAACCCTTATGGTTTCACCTTCCCTTCGGTTCTTGTCTGCCTGCCTCTTGTATTCTTCCTTCGCCCTTTCTAAGTTGAGTTGGAGCTGACGGTGGATTGCTTCCATTTCTTCTACAAAATGCTCGGCTGCCGGTACGCTCCATCTCTCCCCTTCTCCCCTGGGAAAGCCCTGGGATGACACCCATAATTAGCCAAGAAGGGGCTCATCCCTGTGGACACATTCTCGGCATTGTTGTAGGCAAATTCCGCCAGCGCCAACTTTTCTACCCAGTCATTCTCTCTGTCATTGACATAACACCTCAGGTATTGCTGGAGGACACCGTTTGCTCTCTCCGCCTGCCCGTTGCTTTCCGGGTGCCGGGCAGTCGAACAGTTGACCTCCACCTGCAGTAAGCTCATGAGCTTCCTCCAGAACCTGGAAGTAAATTGTTTTCCTCGGTCTGAGACCACCCTCAATGGCACCCCGTGCAACCTAAAAATGTGTTCTACAAATAACTTTGCTGTCTCTTCCGCCGTGACTGCATGCGAGCAAGCTACAAAGTGGCACATCTTTGTTAGTAGGTCTACCACCACCATGATGGCTGTTTTCCTTTGGACTTCGGCAGATCAGTCATAAAATCTATCGACACTGCCTCCCAAGGTCGTTCTGGTGTTGGTAAGGGTTCTACTAGCCCCGCCGGCGCCCGCCTTTCCCTTTGGCTCGCTGGCACTGCTCGCACCCTCTTACATACTCACGTACATCCTCCCTCACCTTAGGCCACCAAAATTCCCTGGTGACCAACCACATGGTTTTGTGTTGCCCAAAATGCCCGCCGTGGGGCTGTCATGCAACTGCTTGAGTACCCTCCCCTTAAGTCTCCTTCAGGGATATACAGTGCCCCTTTGTAATACAAAGCTCCATTTCTTTCCTCGAAACCCCTTGATTCCTCTCCCTCATCCCTAAGACCTCTAAGCTTATTCTGGGCGTATTCATCATTCTCTGTTTCTTCTACCAGTTCTCTTTGTCCCACCAATGCCGCCCCACACACCCAGCGGTCCTCTGGAATGACATGTCTCTCTTCGGGTGCTCCCTCCCTCCAAATATTCAGGTTTGCGTGAGAGAGCGTCCGCCCTAATATTCTCTGGGCCTGGCACGTAACAAATCTCAAAGTTAAATTTGGAGAATTCCTGAGCCCATCTCACTTGCCGTTGGTTGAGCACTCGTGCCGTCCTCCAATACTCTAGGTTCTTGTGGTCAGTGCACACTTGCACCTTATGTTGTGCGCCAATTAGCAGGTGCCTCCATCTCCGGAACGCCTCATGAATGGCTAGTAGTTCTCGGTCATACAC